TGATGATGGATACTGCAGAGCAGGCGGATGAGAGAAGTTTCTTGGGTGAGGACGAAGCGCTCGCTGACAAGGCTGGCTTTGATGCATTGTAGAGGTCAGTCTTCTACTACTCAGCGTGCTTTCGTTAGTGGCTCACCGATTTATGAGCAGTTTCTTATAATCAAATGGTCATATTGCCTTCAAAATGAGATCCGGCTTGTTATGCTCCCACATATTGCGAGTGATTTTACCTTGAGTTTTGGTCCATGGTAAGCTCACACTTATATGATACTCGATGGTAAGATCCTGACGATATGATATTCTGCTATATTCTGTTCTCATATTGTGGGCTGACGCTTAACCAATGTTGAATACTTGCCATTTACGGTCATACAGGATTCTATCAATGGTAATATTACAACACTGATAACCTTGTTTATGCCCCGAAAATTTTCCCCCGATTTAGTGATGACTGTTAGCCCTGGTGGCCTTCTCTGTCACAAACATTTCTGGCAGAGTTGCGACCGAGTAGTTGAACTCTGGCGGATCAAGTAAATGGGGAAGCCGTTGCTGCTCAGGCGCAGGAAAGCTGGGTGCCGGCTACAACGCCCCGCTTGCTCAACTCCGACAGCGGCATCCTCATCAATCAAATGCGTTGCCCGTTCACGCCACTGCAACCCCTGTTTGCAACGCGCAATGCCGTTGCCGTTGCGGCGGCTTCTTGTCAATCCAGCCGCTCACCCCTGCAGCAACTCCGCCCATCGGCCGCCCCGCTTTGAAACACAAATCAGGCCGGTTACTCGCACACGCACTTATAAAATGCTTGGCGGATCACAAAGTTCCCAGAACTGGCCTCGTGCGATTGAAAGAGTTCCAACCTTCCTGCCAAGCGGAACCTTCGGAACGTGCAGCATTGTTGCCCAATTGAAGATAGCGGGTGAGGCGCATGCGGCGCTCTTACCTAGTTGATAACCCTGTGAGAGTTGGTTCTGGGCGCAAATAAATATAGCCCTCAACCGCGAATAACTCAGTGCTTGAAATGATATTCACGAACGTAATACACTACATCCATGCTCCAACGGTGAATGCTAAACAATCAACGGCCACCATGCAGACGAAGGACAAGTGATCCGAATGTTCGTAAGGCGAAGAGCAGGGACTCATTGCCTGTCTGTGGCAGCGACGACAGCGAATGCTGAGCGGGCCATACTTGTTAGACAACGACAGGGGACGAGAAAGACTGGGGGAGTTAAGGCGATAGTGACTGGAACCCGGGCGTGAATAGTCTCATGAGCCATTGAGTGATACCCATGGTGATGTGTCTCTTCATAGGGCCGCGACGAGACAGAGGACATAGAGCGACCGGTTGTCGGGCGGCTATCTGGAGACACCAAAGGGAGAGTGGTCGCCGTTAATGAGCATCCCGGAATAATCGGAGGCGTGCGAAGTGTTGACTGAGAGTCCAAGCGCTTAGAGCGGCATGCTTCCGGACCGCAAAATGCACGTGACGGAGCGGTTGAACGGCTTCTCCGCCATGAACAACCCGGTGCTCGAAATGATATTCATGAACGTAATACACTACACCCGCGCTCCAACCGTGAATGCTAGACAATCAACAGCCACCACGCAGACGAAGGACGAGGTGGAGGTTGACTCCAAGTTTTGGAGAGGTATTAAAATACCCTCCACCTCGTCCTTCGTCTGCGTGGTGGCTGTTGATTGTTCTAGCATTCGTCATCGGAGCAAGGATGTAGTGTATTTCGATCGATCCTCACGAATGTCGTCTTCTCGAGTTGTTCATGGCTGAGAAGCCGTTCAATCCCTCCGCTATGTAATGCCCACGAAACCATTTCATTCGCTATGTACTTCTGTCAATGAACCTCGTTTGCTACGCTATTCGACTTGTAGAAAGAAAGAAAAAAGAACTACGCCCTACGCGGATGCCCGGCCTTGAGGAGGGTGAGAGCGTTCTCGAGCTGGGACGCCACCAGCTGAAAGTCCCTGGCCCACTTCTGCATCTGCCCGAGGCGCACGCCCATCTCCTCATAAGTGCGCTCGAAGTCAATCATGCGGTCGCGGTTAAGTTGAACGACCGACGCCTGCAACAGAAATAGTAAGTATGGTTAGAGGAGGCTTTTGATAGTAAAGTACTTACGTTCAAGAACGTCTCAGCGTTCAAGGGAACTGCGATGATCTTGCGGGGCGTCGGCTGCGCTGTCGGCTGCGCTGTCGGCTGCGCTGTCGGCTCCGCCGCATGATGTCCGCTGCCGCCCCCCGCGTCGGAGTCCGCTGTGAGGTCGAGGACCTCAGCGGCTTTGTCATACTTGCTGCTGTAGTCGATCGCGCCCTTGCGACGCTCCCCCGGCTGCGCTGAGGAGGAGCAGTGTTGGGGTGAGTAAGGCGGGCGCCAAAAAAGAGTGGTGTAGATACTTACTTTCGATCTTCCTCTTCTTCATGGGCGGGGCCGCCCCGCCGGATATGACGATCACCTCGTCGTCATCCTCGTCCTCGCCCTCAGAGTACTGGGACCGTTCCTCGCCGGCCGAATTGCGGCGCTTCAGGGATGCCGTCCCCCCTTGGGCGACCGCACTGCGCTGATCGCCCTCGGCGTCTTCGACAATGCTGCCTTCTTCGTGGCTGCCGCTCACACCGTCCTGCGCCGTTTCCTGGGCGGTGACGCGAGTGGGCGCGGGCGTAGCGGAACCCTTGGACGGGGAGCGCGCAGGCACGGCGGTGCCTTTGGATGGGGAGGGCGCAAGCGAGGTGGACTGAGATGGGGGGGGAGCGGACGCGGGGGCGATAGATGGCGGGGGCGAGGGGACGATGGGACGGCGAAAAACGCGCTTCTGCTTTGGCTTGACTCCAGACGCTGTAGACGCGGGCGCGTTGTCGTTGCTCTCGTTGCTCTCTTTGCCTTCGCCATTCTCCTCCTCATTGTCCTCGCCCTCTTCGTCCTCATCGCTGCTGTGCTCGACAGACCCCTTACTGAATTCAGTCCTTATCAGGGGCGGTACGAAGACGAAGGGCTGCTTTACCTTCTTCCCCTGGGACGTAGTACGAGTGGCGACGGAGCGGGGCAACAACATAGTCTCGTACATTCCGCGAGTGGCGGACATACAAGGAGTACCTGCTATTCATACTTAGTGGGCGCAGCCAAGCGAGAAACGAGGACTTACTGAATTTCCTCGTCTTGGTTTTCTTGTCCATGAGATGGGCGCAGGGGGGAAAGAGAGAGATGGGCTGACGCGTCGCAAACGCGATCTAAGTAATCTGAGGAATCAAATTCCGACGCGGCTTCCCACGCAGAAGCTCAGATGCCGCAGATGCCGGGCTCGCCTGAGCGCGCCTGCGCCACCGCAATAGTTGCCACGCCACCGCAATACTTGCACGCGCCAGTTGGCGGGTGCTTAAATAGCAGTGTTTGCGGCATCAAGTAAGTCCCCCCACCCCCATTCCGGCTTCAGCTTCACGTAGCAGCGCCATGCCCCCCAAAAAACTTAGATCACTCGCCGTTCCTCCCTTCCTCAACGAAGGAATTCGCTTTCCCCAGCAAGGGCAGTTCATCAAGGACGCCGACTTTCAAGCGATCGTGGACGCTCTACATCGCCGCATTATATTTGCTTTGGCCCACCTCGGTCAGTCTCCGGCGGAGCTTCCTCCTGCGATTAAGAAGTGGTTCAAGGGCTTATGGAGCATTGAGCTGGTAGGCCCGTTCGTTTTGAGTTGTTACCGGATTGACCGCTGCGAAAGGGCCACGCCCAAGCTTTTTTTTCGGCTTATCCCGACAGAATGAACGGCATCGACGTCGGGGTCCCGGAACTTTTTGGCGCCCTCACTCGTAACTCTCAACCGCTCAAACCATCCTTCCTGGAGACGCTCAAAGGAGAAGGGATCGAATTGCCTTCGCTCGTCGAGCTCGAGACTCTATCCCTGGACCTTGGTACCGACACCTGGTGGACGGAGCTTCCCGATAGGCTCAGCGCGGTTCAGGACGCGGAACCCAAGAAGAAGAAGCGCAAGGCCAGAGTCGAAGACGCCCAGGCCCAGCCGCCGCAGAAGAAGCCTCACACCGCAAAGTCGGGACCAGCAGCGACAACTGATGCGTCCATCAGCTCAGTCAAGGCGCGCAAAGGGAAGGTCAAGATGATCAAAGCGGCCCCCATGGTGAGCAACTCCATTTCAACCGAGACTTCTCCCTACGCTAACGATTCTGCAGGCAACATCTGGAGCTCCACCCACCAATCCCAAGGGCGCAGCTGCTGGGACCATCAAGGCGCCCAAGGAGAAAAAGAAAGCGACGAAGGCGGAGTCAAAGGTAAGTAATTGCCACTACTAACTACTACTAATACATGTATCTTCATTCATCACTTTGTAGGTTATCCCTGAGACACCGCCTGCCAACGTCGAAGGCGCGCCTTCTGCGTCACTTGCAGCGCAACAACGAAACGACTCGGCGACCAAAGCCAAGTCCCAGGTGAGTCAGGGTGCCGCAACATGGACATGTTCTCGCTCATTACTTTATAGGCGAGCTTCAAGGTGCTGCCCGCCAATGCCGAAGACAAGCCTGCTGCCCGGTCCAAGGTGCTCAAACAGAGTGAGTCGGCAAGCAAGGCGGCGACCAAGGTAAAAGTTATTTGATACCGCGCAGACGCATACTCACGTTCTACGCATTCCAACTGGCTAAAAGAGTGCTACGGATGCCGATAAGCCGAAGGCAAAGTCAACGCCGAAGCCGGCTATTGCAAGCATGCGCCCAGACGCTCAGGAAGCAAGCAAAGGGCTTTCGAAGGTACGCGTCCACACAGGACAGGAGATTTCTTTCTCATCGCTTGGCAGGGGAACGTCAACAACCCGGCTCACTCAGCACTTTCAATCGAAAAGGAGAGAAGCCAGCGGTTGAACAGAATTAGTCCTGCTGAAATGGGCAGTGTAAGTGGTCAACTTGGCGAGGATCGCTAGTTATTTTGTTCACGGTTTTTAAGGTATCGCAGTGTAAATCAGGCAGGAGAGTGCCGGAGGAAACGAAGAAGGTAGGCAACAAGGACTCGTTGGAGACGACGCCGCCGTCCGAAGGGCAGTCCAGAGTCTCCAAGTTGATCGTCCCCCCGGCTCAAGCGGGTGAGTCCGCCCGGCTGAACGTTTTTATATCCTGTTGACCTGGATTTTAGACCGGTCGCTGGACGATGGTTCAGCGGCTACCGCCTTGAAACTCGAAGGGGTCAAGCACCTGCTCCACCTCGTCATTAACGCCTTGAAGTCCATCGAGGAGCAGGGCACTCGCCTAGATGCCAACGTGACCAAGTTGAGACATACTTTCGACGGCGTTGTCTACCTGCAGAAACCGCATGCCTCGGCATCTACTGCAAGGACAAAGAAGGAGGCCCAAGTCGAGAAGTCCTCGACAGAATCAGCGCCGCCCAGCGCTCTCAAACCCGCCCAGAACCAGACCGTCCTTCACATGAATGCCGCCCCTGGCAATCGCAAGTACGCGCTGTCCGCCATTCCTCATCGCATTTCAACCGGAGCAGCGTCGGCTGCTTCATCTACTTCAGCCGCAGCTGTTGGCGATATGCTTGCGGACACGTCCGGGGAAGAAGACGGGTCCGAGAAAGCGGATGTTGATGAGATGGAAACTGACGATGGCGATCCAGAAGCTTGAAGTGAGAGGCTGATGTCTGATTATGAATAGAGTCAATTATCTTCGAGCTAGAATTTCGTGTCTTATGATCAAAACATTGATTTTCGCGTTTATGAATGGCGGGTGAACCCGATGCAAGCGATCGAGTCCAGCCCGCAAGGGGCCTGGCTTAGTTGCAGCCGCATTGCATTGAGTACCGGCTTGCCCTGCGCTCACTGGAGTTGTTGGAAAGTTTGTTAACTTGCATCCAATACACATCCGCGTAAAGTGGTTCACTACTATAGATTGCTACCAATACGAATACCATTCCCGTGAACAACCTACTAGTGCTCGAAATGATACTCAAGAACGTAATACACTACACACGTGCTCCGATGGTGAATGTTAGACAATCAACAGCCACCGCGCAGACGAAGGATGAGGTGGAGGGTATTTCAATCTTCATTTCAATGCTGGACCCACCATGTGTGCACCCATCGCAATTTACTATATTGAAGTGTCGCGCGGGTTCCCACACCCTTTCTTTCCGACCATCTCGCCATCCCTGGCATCGGCCCCTCGCCGACGCTGGGGGGTTTCCCCTCTCGCCCTCGCTCTTCGTTCTTCGTCGCTGATATCAGCTCGTCCGCGCCGCGGGTAACGATCTCGCAGCCGTCCTTTGGGGTGAGTCCACGCTCCCTTCAGCCCTCTTCCTCCCGCTCACCACTCCCCTATCTATCCTAGTTCTCCTCATCATCCGACTTTGGGCCCACGGGTTTCACAAAGTGTTGGAAAGCCTCCGCCGTGCTTCCTTCTCGTCACCCATAGCTCTGGAACATCTCCAGGACTTCATCTACTTTGCTTACACCTTCTACATCGGCCTCCTCGAGGAACCAGCCGTCTTGGAGGACGATCTCGCAGCCGTCCTTTCGTGTATGTCCACGCTCCCCTCAGCCCTCCTCCTCTCGTTCATCTCTCCCCTATCTATCGAAGTTCCTCGATCTCGTCGATGCAGGCGGTCGACGCTGTCTATGCCCCGTACGTCCACGAGCTCCCATACCGCATTCCCGCCTCTAACTCGCAGCTAAATCTTGCTCGACCACAACTCGATGTCCGGCTCGGCTCGTCGTCTGTCTCCCCGGTACTTCACCACGTATCACGGCTTCCGTCTGATGGCTGGTCCTTCATTAGAACTCGGCCCCACCTCCGCATGAAATGTTTCCACGTCACATAACCGCATGATATCGGTTTTTGTCCGGGTACGCGGGCGCTGCATCCACGATCTGTACCTGACGCTCACCTCTCCCAGTTTGTAGGCTCACAAGTCCACACTTCATTCGGCTCGTCTTTTCACCTCGCGTGCTGGCAGGAGTTCGTAGGGTCACAATTGTCTCACATTCGAGACAAAGGTACGCTTCCGTTTCCTTTCACTCTCCGCCTTCATTCGTTCATCGCCCGTCGTCGGTACTCCCTCCTTACACTTACGTCTATCACCATTTGTCGGTCCGATTGCACACCTGGCATTCCTTTTCTGTCCCATCAAACCACCCTCAGGCACACTCCGAAACGGCACACCATCCAAACCCGGCCCTGCTGCACCATCATCCCGTCGCAAAACTCCCCTCTCATGCGCTCCTGCACCTCCAGACACTGATGGCAGCGCAGCACTTCCTGACGGACCGTTCAAGGAGTACAAGCTCATGTCCTCCGCGTCGAACGACTAGAAATACGATTCCATAACGTTTGATTCGACGCCACGGCGCGGACGAGCGCGAGCGCGATGCAGGTGGAGGTTGGATTGCTATAGGACGCGAGTACCACGTAACGCCACACCACGATACGATACGCTGTGGATACTTGTAAACTGACAAAACTTCGGGTTTGATTGGACATCGCTTTGGTCACACTTCCTCAAGGGAATCTAGAGATTCTGCGCGCCGTGCCGGAACTAAACGAAAGGCTTCTGATGAAAATGATGTTGAGCCCGAGGAAAGCCGTCTCCTGCAAAATCTGGGCGAGGTGGACGAGGCAGCGCTAGGCAGGGGGGCCGGCCGAGTCCCGCACCGCCATCAGCGGTACCGCTGTAGCAGATGCTTACGTCTCCAACGCTCACTAGAACTCTTCGCGCCGGAAAGGAGGCCAGGAGTCCGGAGAAGGCGTGCGGAGGGCGCGCGTAAACGATTTCACGTTGACATTCCGACGCAATAACGCAGGCGTAACGTAGGCGGTTGCTCAACAATAGAATCGCGGTTATGTGCCGCTTGGTGGTGATAGCAAAGCGCCTGCTACCTGGGTGCGAATTTCAGAGCCTTGGCTAAGACTCATACCTTGATGGCGGCGCAGCCGCGTTGGAGCGGTTGAACTCATTTGGAGCAAGCCGGCGCTGTACTGCCGCGCCACCATAAGCGAACTGGACGATAAGAAGACCCGGCTGAGCAGAAATGAGAACGGGTTGCCAGCCGCTTTTGGGGCGTTTACTCTATCTCCGGCATCGTCGACCGCCGAAGATTCTATCGGCCAACATTACCCAGGCGCTCACTGAAACGATCTGCTTGCATGGCGACGTCCCGGCTTCGGCAATGCGTAAGCATGCGAATACGGCATCTTCGGTTGGTTCTGAATCAACTAGGTAAGATTGCCGCACGCGCCTCACCCGCTATCTTCAATTGGGCAACAATGCTGCACGTTCCGAAGGTTCCGCTTGGCAGGAAGGTTGGAACTCTTTCAATCGCACGAGGCCAGTTCTGGGAACTTTGTGATCCGCCAAGCATTTTATAAGTGCGTGTGCGAGTAACCGGCCTGATTTGTGTTTCAAAGCGGGGCGGCCGATGGGCGGAGTTGCTGCAGGGGTGAGCGGCTGGATTGACAAGAAGCCGCCGCAACGGCAACGGCATTGCGCGTTGCAAACAGGGGTTGCAGTGGCGTGAACGGGCAACGCATTTGATTGATGAGGATGCCGCTGTCCGAGGGGGTCGGCGGCGGGCCAGAAGCAGCGGGGCTTTTTAGCTGTTGCAGGCGGAGTTGAGCATGCAGGGTGTTGCAGCCGGTGGGATCCAAGGAGTTGCAGCCGGCATCCCAGCGCAGCGCCGCCGCTAGAAGCAACGGGGATGAAGCGGATTGATGATGCCGCTCAGGTTACGGCTTCTTCGGCATGGTGAACGCATTCAATCGAAAGATCTCTGAAGGACATGCGGCAACCGGCACGTAAGCGCCCCTCCTTGGCAGGCTGAAACTGCGAAGTTGCGCGCGACCGTAGGGCAACGTGGAACGCGGAGATCACGCATGGGCTGACTGAGCCCCCCCTTTGGGTCCTTATAAACCCATAGTTTTCCTTCTCTTCCCTCAACCCCCTCGTTCATTGTCTCCTGCAGTTCTTGCCTGCTAATAACTTTCCGCCTACCCATGTCCTCTCCGTTGCGGCCCCCGCACGTAGTCTATCCTGGCCGCCGAAGCAGTTTACCTCAGAATGACGTCCACACCTCGATGGCGTCCACGTACTCTTATACGCGGTTTGTCAGATTGCGCGTCGCTGTAAATCGCTCTGGCTTCGTTGTGAGTCCCCGCTTTTATTCTGCTCGCTGTCTGCCTTCGCTGATGTTTTGCTCGTAGTTTGTCGACGTCATCCCGCAGGATGACGGGATCTGGGTATCTCTCAGGGAGTCCGACGTCACTGGACCTCCTCGCGTAGGCGAGTCGCTTCACGCGGTTGACACGTCCGTCGAGCCCGGGGAGACCCTGGTGCAGTTCATCCTGAATCGGAACGCTGAAAGACGCGGCATATTCGGCTTCACCGTCAATCGCCGTGGCCTCATTGTAAGTTTCTGATGATTTGAACTTTATGTTATGTTCCTAATGGTGTGTAGGTTCTCGACGTCAGCACTCAGGGCTCCAATGTCATCGTCGCGGTGAAGAGAACTCCCGCCTTTGCGCACTCCCGTAGAGAGACACCCGACTTAGACAGCGGGGACAGTGGGGATAGCGGCGACGATAGCGATAGCGACATGCCGGAGTTCCTTCGCAAGCGCAAGGCGCTGCCCGCGCCCTCTGAGCCCTCCGCGTCCAAGCGGTCGAAGGGCGAAGGGTCTTCTGGACAAGCAAACTGAAGGAGCGGAGCCGCGCTTTCCGCAGTAAAGTCATGTAGGTATATCGTATGCTTAGTACATGCGTGCCTTCGTATACCTAGCGTTAAATATCAAGTGTTGCCGAGTCTGAACTACTGTCAAGCGCGCGCTCACATGCGAATTGTGAATCTCCAGCCCACACCTGTATCACCAAGCCCGGCCAGATCCTCGTCTTCATCGACTGGATCCTTCACATTGTCTCCGTCGTCTCTAAGCTCCAGCTCATCAGGCACAACGAGGCGGACGCGATGCTCGATGCAGACAAAGAGTACTACATCGGCCCTAGCATCAGCGGTTTCAGCAGCCGCAAAGCGTTCGAAGATGAAGAAAGGTAGAAACGGCGACAAGGCCTAAGGACATGCATCTTTATTCCTTACTACTTAGTCTGCCCATGTGTCTCAATTCTACATATTTATACTGTCATGTAGCAAGATGAGGACGGATGAGGATCTCTCGCCACGTCGCGTCCTTGCGTTCTTGACGTGACTCTTTGTAACGGTGCCGACCCTTCTCGGCGCATTGCCAACGCACTCCGCCTCTACAGTCTCATACCCCGCCCGCATGCCGTCCTCAGCATCCGCTGTCTCACTCCTTTGCCCTTGATCATCACTCATACACTCCTTTTGCCCCTCGTATATTTCTCTTTGCCGTATGACTCCCCCTCACACGTACTCCATACCAGCATGACTCAGAGGCCAGCTTAGATACCCGACGTCGCTAGGAGAAGGACTTGGACTAGTATATATAGGACCTCGTAGCAGTAGCTAGAGGCCAATTACATTCCTTAGACCCAATTTAACTTACATTGGCTGGTTCTATCCTGTTCAAACCCCTGGTGCCGTGTTACCGAGTTACACTCCGGTTACCCGTCACATCTTTTTGAACCTCCTTTTTAATGCTTTTAAACCAATTCCATTCGCATTCGTTCGCACCTTCGGACTGATCATCCGCTCGGCCCTCGCGTTCGTATCGAAACCCATACCCACACCCTATGTCAACCAACAACAACAACCGCTATGACCTGCGCCGTCGCGGCAACGAGCCCGGTGCTCAGCCTGGGCCCGACACCACTGCCGCGTCCTCTATACCCGGACCTTGCGACTCTGCCGTGACGCCCTCAGCCAACGGGTCTGACAGCTCTGCTGTCTCATCCCTGACGCCTCTGCCCGACGACTCTGTTGCCGCGGCTAATACCCCTGCTAGCCCCTCTTCGGAGGAGGCCAGCCCCAAGCCCTCCGGTGCCTCATCTCCACGTCTGCTCTATAGCGACGTCGTGAGATCTCCGAGGACTCCTTTCACCTTTATCTGCACAGTTAAACCATGGTACCCATGTGTCTCCGTTAGCTAGCCCTTATATGGGTAATAGAAGTGTTGATAGTCACTCACCTGATGCGGAAGCGCTGTCTGCGTACATCAGAAACATGAGTGTGGGTGATGAAACCGAGCCGAAAGGCTCTAAGAGAATGAGCCGCAACGAAGAGGAACCCATAATGGAGGACGCTACATCCCTTCTCGAGAGAATGAGTGACTCAGACCTTAAGCACCTCGCCAATTCGCATAAGAACTTCCTGGCGAAAATAGAAATGAGCCTTCAAAGGAGAATTAAGGCAAGGACAAGCATCCTTACCGACGAGAGTGAATCGGCCTCCGAAAGGGAGAACGTAATGCCTGCTGCACCAAGTGTGTAAGCAAAAGGCAAAGGCACCGACCCCAGGAACTGGGGAAACGTTGCCATACCTGAGGAGGGGTTCGATGTTGAAGCCCAGCGTCGTGCTCTCCGGGACATTAAAGACAATTAAAGCCCAATCTAAGAAAGAGACAAAGCGTCAAGGCGACGTTAGCAAAAAAAAAAAAGCTCTGCAAAAGGAGAAGAAGTGCGCACGGTTTCTAAGGAATCCTCTTCGGAGGGATCATCGTCTTCTGAGGACGAAAGCGCGCGAAAGCGCAAGAAAACGCGTTCGCCGGCGCAACTAAAGTGTCGCGCCGAGCACCTGATATGGCGGGGTTTATTCATCCCCTGCCTTGGGCCTGTGCCGAAATGCGTAACCCATACGGAAAGAAGTTCCGAAAGAGCAGGGACACACCGGCGCTGGCCTCACTAAACCACGTAGAGCCGAGTAGTTATCTGGGGAGGCTGTTCAGCCGCCTCAAATGGGGGGAGGACTTCCAAGCCACTGGTGTCGGATCTAAGGCTTCGAGCTCTTCAGTACATTCGCGCGTTGAAGACGACGACTCACCGAGCAGCTCATCGAGCGACTCGTCGAGCAGCACGTCGGGCGGTTACCATACCGATGGGTTGTCAAGGTCGAGCGGGATGACGTTGTCGCCGTCGTCGTCATCTAGCTCGTCGTCATCAGCAAACAACAACGCACGAAGGCGTTCGCGACACCGTTCGTGTAGAAATAAGAGAAATAAGCGAAGATCCTGAAAAAGCACGCTAAAGCCAATCCCACCTACTAAATATGACCGAAGCGTGGACTCAGTGTTATACCATGCTTATTTTCAGGACCCAAAATCTCCCGTTTGTCTGCAGTGTTACCGTATGGGCGCCGAGATGCTCTCGAAGATATACTGGTCAAAGTCGGGGTTACTCGGGTTCTTCGAGATCGTGCCCAGAACCTGCACGAGTCTCTCGAGCGTTTGCTGGTATACAGGCATCAGCGTCTGTCGCGCCGTCACGATGACCCGCATTACACCTGTCAACGACCGTCAGCGTAAGAATGATAGTCGAAAGTAGAGGAGCGTACATTTCATCAGGTGGACGTTCTCCGCGACCTTTTCTGGCGCACCGGCCTTCTCGATCTTGGCTAGCACGGCGTTGAGCAGCTTCGGCGCGGCTTCGTGGATGTCGGCCTGGGAGAACCTGTCGAAAGCGAATGAATATCCCGCCAGAAGCCTCGGTTTCGTGAGGACATGGCACGTACAGCAGACGGTTCTCTCGCTTGAGAGCAAGTATCCTCCCGATCGTAATTGCCGCGTACGTGTATACTATGTACATATCTGCGCTCAGATGCCGGACGAGGAGGGGGAGCACGGAGAGGAGTTGGTGTTTTGTCAGCTTAACAAAATGTCGTGTTAGCCTATGGTTCTGCCTCGATGACAAGACTACACGGCTTACCTGGTGAAGCAACACCAACAGAAACCGAATCGCGTCAATCCGAAGGACAGAGTGCGTCTGACCAGGCTGGGGCTCGAGATTCGCATACACATCCTCCGAGAAGAACTGCACGACATCTCCCTGGGAGTTTGTCGACGTGATGCCATGCTACCGTATACCACCTTAAGCGTTTTGTTGTACTGACACACAAGCAGCGAGTGAAACTCACCTGCACACTCCCGGTCCCGACCTCAACTGCCCCAAACAAGGTCACTGCACTGTCATTCTCCTGCCACCTCTCCGGCAGCGAGCCCCTCTGTGACGAACCTGCCCACGACGCTCGTCGTCTCCGTGCTATACCTGCAATGACAAGTGCGTCCGCGGTTGCCTGCCTGCGCGTGTCCTCGGGAGCAGCGACATTGGACCCGCCCGCTTCGACACCGCCGCCGATGCTGAGCGAGGCGATCTGCAGGCCAGGGGCTGAGGCGAGGTCGCGCAGGACGTACTCGGGTGGGTCACCCTCGAGCAGCTCGACCTCGTGTGCGCAGGGCCGCGTTAGAGAGGATGACATCGCGGATGAGCGAGGTGATCGTCTCAGGGGCGGAGAAGAGGGCGGTGCAGTGGCCGCTGCGGAGGGCGGTAGTGATAAAGTGGAGGGCTTACGAGACGAACTGGATGGGAATAGTTGGGTGGATGGAAGAGAAGAGAGAAGGGCCACGTACGCGCGCTGTCGTCACCAACATCTTTGGCCTTGTCTCCCCCGATCAATGTCCAGACGCCTTGAACGAGGGCTTCGACGAATGAGCCTTGCTGCAGGATAGAGCATGATGTAGAGCAACGTAATCCGAGCGCAAGGTCAGTCGGACACGTCTCCAGTTTACACGGATCAGGAAACCAGCTCACCTCGTCAAGCTCGAATACTCTCGTCTTCAACTTTGCCGGTAACGATGGCGTTGGTTCGTCTTCCTATTTCTCTCGTCAGCATTCTCATGCCCATCCATATGACGTGACGTGAGACAATGACATCCGCCCGGAACCGAGGTGGATCCCATGGCAGGAACCGAGTCCACCATCCCTGCGTGGGGTCGAAGAACTCCTTGTGCGAGTATGTATTCAAATATTCAAGCTTCAATCGCCGGCGGAAGACCCTGACACGTCAAAGCATGGAATATCTCCACGAGAAGGATCTGCGCCTGGGCCAGGCCCTCGAGGCTCAAGCGCCCACCCCGACGCTCGCCGCGGCAGCATTTGAGTCGGGAGAGAGCACGAGTGTGGTGGGAGAGAGCAATGAAGGGCTCGACGAATCGGGAGAGGACGATGTTGATAGTAGTAAACAGAGGGTCGGAGTGGACTTGAGCACGCCAGGGGGAGAAGATGGCAAGCGAGGCCTCGAGAATAGCTATGGTGTAGTGGGTTAGCGAAAGGGAGTCAAAGCGGGTGCTGAAATCATCGCAACTGTAAGATCGTTAGCACAAAGAATGGGCGAAGGCTTGAGCGCGGGTGCGTACGTACGATCGCAGGGCCGACGGCGGAATGCTTATCTTGATAGGGAGATGTAGAGTTGACGAAAACAGGCTGGATAATGCCGAGGACGGCGACAACGAGGAACATGAGAGGTGGGCGGAGGCGACGGTGTCGACGCTGGGGGATGGGGTAGTGGGGTGGATGGTGGTCGGAAAGCAGGAACAGGGTGGCCCAACCAAAGACTATTGTAGGAAATCGCGCGGGGGTACAGCTACTTCCCATTTGGGAGAGCCGGTGGCTCGTAGCGCACACTTGGCGCCCCGACTTTCCCAAATGGGAAGTGGCTGTACCCCCCGCGCGATTTCCTACACAGTCATTGGGTGGGCCATCCTATTCCTGCTTTCTGACCACCACCATCCCGCCCGCCCTTCCCAACGTCGACGTCTCCGTCGCCTCCCGCCCCATCCACCTCTCTCATGTTTCTAGCTTCCTCTATCTCGTTGTCGTCGCCGTCCTCGGCATCAGCCGGCTTGTTCTCATCAACTATCCATCTCCCCATCAAGATAAGCATTCCGCCGTCGGTGCTTCCTCCCCCTGCGATCGTACGTACGCACCCACGCTCAAGCCTTCGCCCATTCTTTGCGCTAACGATCTTACAGTTGCGAGGATTTCAGCACCCGCATCGTTAGCCGCATCGTCCAGGAGTTCATGCACCGGGATAAGAAAGGTACGTCTTTTCGAATTCTTTTCCGTGGCGTCTCTGGTTACTGATCATTTGCCCTAAATCTTTCCTCGATCCCTCGCGCTCTCCATCGTCTGCGCACCGCTAACGAGCGTGTCGAGGGCATGAGATCGTCTTCGTTGGTGGTTCCACTCGTATCCCCCGTACCGTGAAGGTCGTGTCCGACTTCTGCCGACACCGAAACCACTCGCACCGCCAAGGGCGCCAAGACGGCGCCGGCCACGAAGTCTCGAGGGAGGAACAAAAAGCCCGCCGCCGCTACTCCCGTCCCTGCTGCGGCTGCGGCTTCCGCTTCTTCCAAGACGAAGAACCCTACCTCGAAATGGGTCAAGGAAGATCTTCCTTCCTACTGCAATGTCAAGAGCCTGTGGGCGTTCGTTTTCATTCCGACATTCCTAGCCTGGCTCGGTACCTAGCGGGCCATTTGGGGCCCGAGCTCTGCATCAGCACTTGAGGCTATGAAGGAGATCTGTGAGGTTGTTTACGACCAGGAGATGCCGGAAGAGCAGGACACGGTAGAGGGAGCTACCTTCGGCTAGGTACGTGTCATTTTTTGAGGAAGTCTGTCACTCATCTTTTATCTCAGTGCAAGCAGTAGGAAAACGACTGGCGGGCCAACTTCGGCTCCACCGTCATCGCTGTCCTCCTCAACAACTTCGTCGAGAAAGACATGTATGATCAAGAGCACTCTGAGGAAGATTGCACGTGGTACGCTGAGGGCCTCCTGTGCGAGTCCGCCTTCATGCATGAGGAGGTCGCCGACGATGGCACGTTTCTCATTTCTCAACCCTCTTCGTGGCAAGTTCATGGGCAACATCATCGCGACACACTACTCATCAACGCAGGGCTACGTTGAAGTGCCCACTTTGGACGAGCTCACGGGTCTATACGCTCCGTGGGGCGCGATCACGCTCGTCATCACCGCAGTAAGCCTCACTATCATTCATTCCGTACTCCTGTCAGTCGTGCTCCACTGGTGTATTCATGCTCTTCCCGCCGTTAGGGCGAACACCTCATGAGTGCCAATAAGAACGGCCGCTTGGAGCCGAACGGAAGGACCGGGAAGCAGTCGACAACCATCTCAACTTCTCGGAGCAAAACTGGTCGTCGGCCTCGTCCGCGTACTGGATGTCGGTACAGGGCTGCTGAGCCTGAGGTAATAGCGTCGGCCTTCGACGCGTCGGCGCCACATTCTAACAAGGTCAAGCGAGGCGAACGCGAGACAAACAATGAAGACGATATCAAAGTCCCGGCCGCCATCGCTGAAGCTGAAGATAGGCGGGCGAAGCTCAGATTCTGTAGATGAGCTTCTATTTTTGCCTTGTCCGTGCTCGTTAGCCTTTATAGGACGGGTCGCTCCATTCTTGGTCTCAATCGAACGCTCGCGCCTCGCTGTCCGTGTTCTGCTTCGATCTGTACCTCAAGCTTCAAGCTTCAAGCTTCAAGTCCGTTATCGTCATCTTTTTACGCTCTGGGTATTCACGCAGCCATCTTTGCTTATTCATTTGTAGTCATCGTTTTCCTCTCCCACATGCATTACTACGTCTATCTACCCTTGGTCTCCCTCTCCCGCCAGCCGGTCTAGACTGCTATATTTATCTCGTTTTTACTCTGCTTTCCGCTTCTTGTTACGACTGTATATTGACATCAGGCGGCTTCGAAGGTCGCTTTTGGACGCTTAATAGACGCTTTCCCGTGACCGCTACACTATGCCAGGGTGAAAAGTATGATTAAACTAGAATAAGCAAACAGTAGGCGGCGCCAATGGGGGAAAAGCAGTTATAAAGCAGAAGGATCTACTTTTACGCTCCTTTTGAAACCTTGCTTTCTTTTAGGATCATTCATAGTCAAAAAGTCGGTCAAAGCGCTGAAAAGCGGCCTGTTGATTTCCTGATGGAGTATGTCCCTCGGGTCAGCTGGTGGACAGTAGATTGGTTGAGTGAGGGAAGGCATCGGGAAAGCTGACGCTGTCGATGCATCCGCCATGTCCGCGAAGGCGAGGGCATGGAGTCAGCTGGGGTCTGAGCCCTACTTGGGTGGGATGGGCACCGAGCCACATGATGGGGCCAAGGGCGGTGACGGGGCGGATGTTGATGACAACAGGGAGTTGAGGCGAGGGTGTCGGTCAGCTGTAGGCTGATCCAACGCAAGCGCTGTTGGCGGAAGGGGTCCATTCGGTACCATTAGGCATAGCTTTTTGATGTGAACCTGCCCGGCACAGAGCGGCACAGCGTGTAGTGTCATACGTCTGACCCAGAGTTAGCATCAATGCAAATATCAATGACTAAGCATTTTGCCCGAGCGCGAAAATCTGCTAAGTCCCGACAGCGTACTGTCAGGGCAACGCCTATTCATTCTCCTATACCCCGCATTCTCTAATATCTAATCTATGCTACACCGTAATGCATCGGCTGTGACAAGCACTACACCATGGACATCTTTCGAGCGTCAAGAACTACTCAAACAAATTGCTACTGGGTGCTTCCCCGACTGGGCAGATGGACCGCGCTCGTTTCAAGTGTCTGCCTGGGCAAGAACACTGCAGGGCATCTCGTAGCTTGTAGTTATCCCGACAGGAGGAGGGAAGACAGCAGTCTTCTACGGGTTGCTGCCCATTCTCGAGGCCTTGCGGATGCAGCCGGTTTGGGGCGTGGGTCGCATCCCCAGCAAGCCGGCTGTGATCATGGTGACGCCGTTGAATGAGCTGGGCATAATGCAAGTGAGTGTGTGATACTATGGTGGATTGGGGCACCTATCTTATAGTCTCAGGCTGCAGAAATGCAAGCCCGGGGCATCGAGGCAGTCGCTGTGAATGCACAGACAATAGCGCAGACCAGACTAGAGGGCCGCGACCTTGTCGATGAGGTTCGGCTGTGTCGGTGGCGAGTATCTATCTGGAGCCCAGAGAAACTCGTCAGCCAGGGATCCAACAGCGTTTTTGACGATGAAGACTTCCGCAAGAACGTCATCGCATACGGCGTTGATGAAGTTCACGTCGTACCAGAGTGGGGGAACGCGTTTCGTGATGCGTATCGACACATTGGCTCTCTCCGCAATCGCCTTCCCTCACGCGTTCCTGTCATTGCATTAACGGCCACGCTTACACCGGGTCCCGAGCAAGCGAGCGTCTGCAAAGTTCTCGGCCTACACCGCAATCAGTACCATTTCGAGCGTCATTCATGCGAGCGAGCCAATGTGCAACTCACCGTCAACGAGCTGAGCCATGGTTTGACGGGCTACAGCTTCCCGGATATCGCCTGGACCATTTTGGGAGCCGAGAAGGTCGTTATATACTGCAAGACCATCGACCTAGGGTTCCGGGTTGCAGTCTACCTATGGTCCCTCTGCACCAACGGTCAGGACAAGAGGAAGACTGTTAGAGTGTGGAACTCGCTCAGTAGGTTGTTTACAACATGAATTTACGCTTACCAGAGTTTGTGGTCGCCGCTGCCGGATAACTGGCATGGCACCTGTTCGACCAAAATCTTTATTGATGTATGCATGTAGGATATACCACATCACAGGTGCGTTTTCCTCCGAGATATCTTGAAGCTTTTTCATGCTAAAGTCGCCTACAGTAGTATTCCAGGAGATGAGTGGCCCTAACGCTCGTTGCGGCTTCGCAGTTCCCGATGCCCTAAGATGAAGACCTGTTTCTTTCTTGCCCATCTGGCCGCCCTCTTCCCATACCCTCCTTGATACAAGATCAACAGCAAGGAGTCGGAATGCTGGTGTTGCAGCCTGAACCGATGCAAGTTTGGGCTGACAGTCCACGTCGACTGATGCAGAACAGATCTGCTGTGAGGTCTGCCACATTTGGTCCAGGATCTCCCCAAATCCGTATGTCTGTCTGCCGTTGAGCAGACTGATTAGCATTTTCTGATGTCTTGTTCTTCGCTTTGGTAGATCGTCTGATTTGTCTCCTCTCCGGCGAAAGTAGTGATACATGGCATGCGAGACAGTCCAGCCAAGTTCACCTTGAATAAACATGAGAAGAGCATCGAGTTTGTCGTCGTCAGAGCGTGCCGGTTTTCGTTGAGCACGATCCATCTCGCCCTCGTATATGGACTTGCAGGAGGAGATGGGTCAAGAAGCTTATCGGGCGTATCGTACGCTTGCATTGCGCATCTCGCACTTGCTTGCCCACAACACCTTCAAGCTAGATGACTCGATGAATCACTCGTATGTTTGCACTGCTCCTTCGCTAGTAAAGTTCTGCAATCATTGGAATTCCTCAAATATGGATCTCATGCCTTCAATAGTCTTATATACGAGAGATATGCAAATTCCATTGTGTTCGTGTTGTAGTTCGTGTCGCACTCTGGCAGATCGGATAAGTCGGAGACTTATGATGTCACCTGTCAACGCAGTCATCCTCCGCGCGTAAGCGCTCGCAACGCATCAGCATGCCGCGTCATCACATCACAAATGCTGTCAAAAGATCAGCAACGCGCTCGGCATCTCCCGAACGGACCCCTTCACCTCTCAAAGGCTTGTAACTCTGTACCATGCCACCGGAAATGCTCTTGAACGCCGCTCTCAACACCAAGGTTCGGCGCACGGATTATGTTCGTAGTCTGTATTTCTTCGTCATATGCCACTTCTACGGCGGCGAGCCGTCCGTACGGTGGCTCGTCGAAGGAGTAAAGGATCCGCGTAGATCCGGTCCAGTTGAAGGTATGTGCACCGCCACTGCCGCCGCGCCGCCGCGCCGCCGCGCCGCCACGGCGGCATATGCCGCCTTTCCCATTTCCCGGGTGTTCTCCACCAAAGGGCCCTTGCGTTGGAGCAGACCTTATACCATCAGTCAATTTATCGACTATCATAAATTGCGGTATTACTGTGATTCACCGTCAGAATAGACAGACTTTTGTGCAACGCGTGTGGAATATTTTTCCTTCGCCCAACTTGCTTAAATTTAGGTTTGAGATGTCCTTGGTATGCGATCTACCTTACAAAAAATCGCTGAGTGACGCAAGCATAGGGTGCATGTGCACATTAATGCACGAATCAGTGTTTTAGGCCGAATACCGTCAGAATAGACAGTCCGCGCGGGTGGCGATAATCCATATTAGGCAGGCCGTCCACCATAGCTGGTCTCAAAAAGGAAAGTCAGCGCGTTATCGCTGAGCCGAATTCGCCGTTACAGCGGCTATAAGATTATGGCAAGGCTCGAGAGGACACTCTGTCATCGTTCCGACATATTGAGAGTTGTCGCCTTTTGCAGCGCCCAAAATTGTTTCAACGAAGGGTAAAGATGTCCTTAAAACATATAATAGCTCTATCATCCACACTGTGTCGCATGTTCACAGCTGGTTATCCGCCGAAGCTAAGAAAAATTTTACAACACCCTGTTTTTCATGCTTTGAGGCTTGCAGCTTCACATCCAGACATTCCCTCGCCAATCGCATGTACAGGCATAAAATACAACATGTTCTCGTAATTACCATGAATTTAGTTTGAATGATTTGCCAAGGAAACGGGCACAAAAGCGAGTTGTCTATTCTGACGGTGGTGTCTACTCTGACGGTGAATCACAGTAGGTCTGCCAAGGGAGACTAGGTCAGCTGGTGATGCGGCAGGAAATGAATCAAGTGAGGGCATCGAAGGAGCTGGGGGGAGTAAATGCACTGTTGGGGCGGATGAGTGGTCCCACAGAAAGGCGAGGGGCGGGGGTGTTGAGTCACCTGGCACAGAGAGCCTGGGAGTGTGCCAGCAGCGGACCACCGCGGATGGGCATGTATGTAGGCAGATGCATCTCGAGTCGCTCGTTCTGACCAAGTCGCCGGTGATGGACGTGGGGGATCTGAGCGAGAGGAGGTTCCCGAGCTTGCAGGACGTGTTTTTGTACACGGACCAGTTCATCATATCGTCCCAACCGTTCTCGCTTCCCAAGGTCCGCGTCTTCGGGTTCTCGTACCGCGATCCGTCGTTTGACAGGCCGCACATTTTCGATGTTGCTGATCTCCCTTCGTTGAGCACGCTGGTGATCACGCTGCGCAGCGAGACGCATCTGCAGCACCTCGCACAATTCTATGAGCAGCTGTGCGGTGGGCTTTCGACATTCGAGGTGCTCCTCAATCGCACCACTTCTTGGTATGGGAACCGAACACTTGTATCGAGCCGACTACCGAAGGCGTCGGCCATGTTCAAGTATCACTAGCTGTTTTCTCCAACCTTTATAGCGTATAAAGCCAGTTGCTATGCAAGGTGTGTACCGGGCGTCACATCTTAGGAGGTATCCGGAGAGACGGAGGCAGGTCACGGGCTAGAAAGATAGGTTTCCTACTAGGGTTATCGCCACTTGAAACTGCATACCAGGTTCATAATGATCACAGACACTAAAGGCAGTCTGCATAACTTACGAAAGAATGCATGTGCTGTATAGTGTGTACATCGCTGTGAACATACCTCGCTACTCGATTACTACTGCCTCAGAGAAATCGGAGAACTACACTCTCAAATCCTTGGGCAAGGCCCATTGATGCCCATGACCTGTATCGTGCATTCAAAACCTGCAGAAAAGACTACTCGAGCTGGATTTCTCACCTCCAAAGGACGTCGAGAAGTGTATGCCCTTGGTCCGTGAATCTGCGGTCTCGCGAAGGATGAGGCCGTCAACGTTTATGCCGAGTTGCCCATCTACCCATAATTGCACTTCCCCTGCGGTTTCTCATATCAGCAAAGTCCACGCGTTTGCTTTACGAGAATGAGACGTGTCGTTTGCCTGGCCGATGTCGCTCAATCTCATACGCTCTGCCACCGTCACCCAGCGTGCCTTTGGCCGTATAAATGTGCCGCAGCCTATTGGCACTCCGTAGTCTGGGTTCACAATGGAGCGGGGAGGCACGGCGGACAGTCTGTTTTTGTGTTTTGCCAGGCGGGAGGTATAGGAACATAGCACCGAGTTTCCTGTCATCGCGCTCATGGCACGCGATTTCCTTGCCATACCCGCTACCTCAGTATCCGTGGAACGCTTGTTCTCAAGCTCGCGTCATGTGCGCAGGGACTCACGTTCATCATTCAAGGCTAAGACTATCACATCGGTGATGTGTGCTAAGAAGTAGCTAGAGGATGCTGACCTATTTTACGAAGCGACTGCAAAACCTCGGTGATACCACGTAATCTGTATATAATCTAAACACGTAGAGCAAGCCTCCTGCGCAGCGAGCGAAGCCCTCTGGCTGAGCACGTATCAAGGTCTGCTCGGAGACTAGCCCTCCCCACCGTCTTTGCAGAACGGTCAGCCTCGGTGATATGAATTAACACATCCCCGGCATCTTCTCGCCTCTCACCCACTCCCGCTCCGCATCCAGCAGCACCCTGTAGCCTACGCGCGCCTCCCGTGCCCCTTCCAGCGCCTTTGCAAACTCCGGCGGCCCCGCGGTATAGACACGCTCGAGCCTCGCGGTCCGAGCGCCGGTTGACGCCGCCCTTCGGATAGCGCGCCTGCCACGCGGTGCTTGGTGCTGGCGTGCCGTCGGGCGTAGTTCCTGCCTCTAGGTACGAAGGATCCGAGGATGCGGGTGGGGAGACGAGCTCGTGCGGGAGGAAGAAGGCCTTGTGCACGCCGAGGCGTCGCCTGTTAGGGGTACGCAGGCGAGAGAGGGGTGGGTGACCGAAGCACATGTGGTGAAGCCGGTTTTCAAGTATGTGATCCGGGGAAGAGGTAGGTTTGAGACATGCTGGGAGGGTGAGTGGACTGGGGGAGTAGGAGGAGGGTAATGGCGAAGAGCGCTTGAGAGGTTAGGTTGGATGTGGGGCGGAGGCTCAGCCTATGTGGTGTCTTTCGATTCGGTCTGACGCTGAGACGGGAGAACTCTGGTGGTTTGCATAAGTTCGACGTCAGGAGGCAACAAGGGCTATGTTAAGCGTGTGTTATCTGAGGATATACGACACCCTCGGGCTCTGAGCTTTCTTTAGCAGGGCGTGTCGAGTTGTAGTATCCGATGGTGCAACTTGTGTACATGAGGCATGGTGCCAAGGTAACCGGTAGCCTACGTTGAAGCCTAGGATATGATTTTCCGAGTCAATTCCTCCTCATGTCAGATGTAATCGTAAATGAGGAGAGTGAAGAGGATGGGTGTGCACTCAGATAAGAAAGGTGCCCCGACTTTTGCCCAAGTCTGATACCTCGGATGATGTCCGTAGACAATAGGGGTTAAATACCCAATTCAGAAAGTTGTTTACTAAGAGCTTTGGATCCAAACAACGCTTCGGCAAAAGTATCAAAAGTTGCCGCTTGACGTTCCCCCTTTCCAAAACTTTGGCCCAGGCCAAAACCTCACTCCTTCCTCTTCAAAAATTGCGGGTGAACTCGTTCTCGAATTTTGACTGAAGCTCATCTCGCCGAAAACCACCACAACACCGCTATGGATTCGGACTCGGATATGGAAATGGAGGTTGACGACGTGCCGGTTCAGATGAATCGCTTCAAGGTGCATATATGCCTTGTCATCTAGTACATTTTTCTGAATCACTTTAATCCTCTACGCTTAGCACCAATCGCGCGCGGACCAGCTGAAAAGCGTACACGCGCCTACGGCCCTCGATCTATCCAAGTTCAACATGGACATCGGAGTACGTACTCTACTTTCCGTCCTTCCACCTTTCTGATCTGACGCGCCCGCATATCACAGGACAATGAAAGCCACTTATACGTCGCCCTGCAAGACTGGAAACAACGCTATTGCATTTACCCACTTTGCAAAACGAGCGGATGGACTCGCGCTCTCCATTCCGCTGCTTATTGCATAAACGGAAGGAGATCATCGACCTATGGACAGAATCAGTTAAAAGCGCCGATGACGATGGGTTGAGAGCATTTCTCGAGTACGCAGTATCCCTGCACTTCTTTCCGGACCAAGCTGATGACTCGTAAAGCCTCCTCCAATAACTAGCTCACGACCTGCGCACGACCCTCCCCCCTCCTTCACATCCATTCTCTCCACACTCACCGCCCTCTTTCCACGCGGCCTCGAGCCACAAGCTCTCACGCGCTCCTCGCTGCGTTATTATCAATGATTTGACGCCTCCTTGTACCCTCGCTCGCACTGTGAGTCGGAACGCCCGCGGACGATGATCATTGAGACGTGGACAGCCATGCGCGGCGTCCTCGTGCGGTGCTGTTCGGAGACGAGGAGAGCGGTCGCCGAGGTGTGGACGGGTGCGGTACGCAGGATGAAGGGTGCCGCGAGAGCAGCCGCGGTGAGAATTATGGTTAGAGATATGCGCGGGGTGGGAAATGCAGCTGCGTGGATCGTTGGCAAGGAGTGCAAGGTTCGTTCTAGCTTTTCTCTGCCTTTGGTTTGGAGGAAACTGACGTCGGCCTGTAGAGCGTCTCGCAAACTCTCTACATTGCAATATAGACAACAATAAGCATCAGAGGCAGAGCACTGAGGCTCTGAGGGTGTTAATCTCGCTGCTGGGCTCGCGATCCCGCATCACGGCCACTTTTCTCGATCATCGCTACAGAACTTAAGCGGTTTCGTCGTCCTGTAGATGAAGCAAGTCCTCATCCACCAAGGACGCGGACATGTGGGCTGAGCCTAGCCTGTACCGAATTGTATTCCCGTCGCCCAATCCCCGACCGATGACTAGTCTCCCCGTTGTCGAGTCGGCGATCGCGCCGTCGCAACAGACGGGGCCGCTTGATGACTCGGATGTGTATGAAACAGCGAGCTCGCATATGGCGAGCGACGGGAGAGGCTCGAGGTCGTCCCAAGATATGACGATGTCGCCAGTCTCGGACTCGAGTGCGAGCCGTCGTCGGATCAACGCGGATGCTGACGCAAAGCGAGATCATGCTGCAGGGCTCCAACGCGCAGGCTTCGTACGTCCATCCTCGTTTCACAGTCGCCTTCCCTAACTAGCCACCTACTCGTCATTTAGGACACAAGCGTTCGCATCCCTTTTCAAGCTCTTCGCAGAGCTCCAATGCCTCAAAAAAGTCTCCGAAGATACCATTCAGGGCGCCGAGGGCCGGCATCGCCCAGATCGACTTCGAGGAACAGATGGCCGGCTACCAGGCCGCGTATTCGCGCCTCATAGTACTCAGCACTCACATGAGATGTTGGTTTCGTTAGCTGTCGATCAGAGAAAGTTTTGTACTCATATCATGCTTGGATGATTCATGCTCATGCGTTTGTTCAACTTCACCTGGTGAGCATGAGGAATTATTGATAATAAAGTAATGGAAAAGAGGCTGTGAAGTGGCTGTGCAAAGTTCGACTTGACGCAGTTCGGCTGATTGCCTCCTCTCACAAACACCCATCGCGCGCCGCACCAATTGGGGGTCAGCGTTTTCTGATCTTGTGTCAATCTCGTCTAATCATGGATGGACTATATGCCTATGACATGGACGCTACGTTGCACGCACCCGAACCTTTGCGATCTGACAATCTCAAGAGACTCTTTGAGAGGCTAGCCGATCCGCACGAAGATGCGATCTTTGTGCAGAACTTTGCAGTGTGTCCTATGTTCAGTACCTCTTTTCGCTGCTATGGAACTCACAAGTCCCGAAAGGGGAAAATCCAACAAGAATTCGCTGACAGTGGGAAGCTTGTCAACGATGAGGGTCACAAACCACAATTCAGCTCCTTTGCCAATTCATGCCTTAAAGCGGGACTGGTAAGAACAATGATGGCGGTCGCACGAGAGGAGTGGTCGACTCCAGATGTACCGAACGCACGGTATATCGCACAACATCATGCACTGGAAGGTCTTTCTCACTTGATGCGGTCCGGAGATGTGTCGGAGCGCCAGAGTTTGCTCAGCAGTATGTTGCAGGAGGATATTGTGGGCCTGTGCTTACGGGTGAGCATGGTGGTTGGCTTCCAGCGCTCATATTAGCCGATAAAGCACTTTACCATAGAATCTGCAACATCGGTTGTGGCTCATGCGCCAGCTAGCCGTCAACACTTTGCAAACCCTTGCATCGGACTCTTTTCTAGCAGCCAATGTCCCGGCTTCCACCGCTGCCGACGTCATAGAAGGAGTCTGTCTCTACACGCTTGACGGACCTGGATTTGCGATCTCCCAGATGAACGACCCGGAGACAACGTGGCAAAGTCAAATGTTCATGGACAAAGAAGACGTGAGTGCCGCAAAGTCTTCTACGACTATGGCTCGTTTTTACTGCATCCATAGATACCCTCAAGTATCTCCAGCAGGTATTGCCAAAGACTCTATGAGTTGACTCGGGGTAGTGCCATGTGTACAGCACATGACCTCCTTTCCACACACCCTCCTCCGACACAGGAGTACTGTTATGGTATTCTCGGGAGGAAACCGGATATCGTCGACCTTCTCCTGGATTGTGCGATCCTCGACCGACAACCATGCTACCCCGAAAGCCGGACGAGCTCGATAGCTTGCGAAGTGTTGTCTTTGCTGTTTCAATGGCCTAGGCACATAGTACCCGGTGTTGTAACGCCGATGGACAAGGCATTCAGATTGCAGGAGTGGAAATCCATGTTACGGTCACTGTCGATCCTGACATCTTGTCAGGACTGGGTGGAAAAGCTTACTGAGGTATGGATGCGTCTCCAAGAGGAGGATCTGATAGAACTTCAGAGGCAAGGACTCAGTGATCAGGTCAGATCATATTACTGATGGTAGCGATGGATTCGTATAGCTACTTTGCGACGGTCAAGAAAGATTATGGTGAAATGAAACCGCCTGATGAGAAAGAATTTGAAAATGTTCCCAGTTATCGTGGTAAGTTACTTCACACAATCAACCCATACACTGGATTCACAATTCTTTTATCCCACAGGAACGTCTCGGATCAGCATACTCCGGGTGATCACCACACTCACGTATGCGGCTGAATCATGTGGTGTCACCAATGTGCAGGTTGAGTCTCTCCTCCACGTCGCCTATGTGGCTTCTCGAACCGTCAAACCCGTCGGAGAATGCGTCGCCGGGAGGGACATGCTTGACTCTTTAGAAAACAGACACGAGATCTTCCGCCCGCCTACAATCTACTTTGCAGATGTGGCTAAAGAGCCTGCAGTGGTAGGTCCCGAAAGCATCCTGGGGCCCACCGCTCTCGTTCGCTTGCTAGTCATTCTCGCTCAGCGTAAAGCGCTGGATGGTATCCAGAAGCTGCACAAAGCACCAATTGGGCTCTCCCCCTCAACGTCTCTTGATCATATCCGGCAAATCACACACCCAGAAATCATCCACAGGGTCATCACGATGGCTCAGGCGCGTCTTCGTGCTCGACTAGACAAGGGTCGCCAGCGAGTAGCAATAAGCAAAACCGACGCCGATTATCACTACTCCTGCGCCGCATTTACGAGCGCGGCTGAGCTTGCCACGGCTCTGGTTTCGTTGGACGTGCATACAGATGGGGCGTACAGGGAAGACATACGCGGCGCGAGGAAGCAGCTTGTTATTTCTTTGGGGAACGCGGCGCAGATGACGCTCAACATAAGGCGATATCAGCGGGCACTCCACTATGCTCTGGGTGCCGTTAGCGCTGCGGAAAACATCCCAGAGGATGAAGAACTGGACCCAGAGATTACGGAGAAAAATAAACGACGAATTGACCAAGCTCACTCGGGGCTACAGTGTAACCGGTAACATTGATTTCTTGGTTTGTACGAGCTGACTGTCATGTAATACATCCGCGTTCTCAACATCTCATGATTATGGGATTCTACGATGCATCCGAACCAAGACACATACATGCGGAGACTCTCGGGTTCCCTCAGAGGTAAGTACGCAATAAAGTATCGGAGACCTTTTGCACCTGGCTCGTCTCCAGCAGACCCGCCTTAACACACACGTCCATAAGAAAACGCCACTACTAGTGAAAATAACAGCTGTTCAAACCCATCCAGCACAGCCGCTAATGTCTCTCCTCATCCTCTCCTTCCACTCTACCTCTGTAGTCACCGCAAGCCCATTGAACACAAATAACCTATATGTCATCCTCGGATCGACTCCCTCGCCCATCCCGCGCAGGCGTACATCATGCAGCGCTGCTGAGACTGAAAACGTGCCGAGTATACCCATCGGGCGCCAGAATAACCTGTTAGTAGGCCGTGTCCCCAGTGAGATGAATAGCTCTCGGAAGAGCTGGTGCCATCTCCTTCCCCAAAGCTCGCGTAGTGACGTCGAACGTCAGGGTGCGTCGAACAAGGGCGGCCACTGATCCGGAACATGCCGGAGGAGGAGGACGGCGAAAAACGCAATACAAGAATATAGGAGCAACATGAACGCGAACCCCGCAAAGAGAGAGAGACATGCGTCAATCGGGCAGCATGCAGGTATGAAATGACAGGGGACTGAGAGTCGTCGGAGATAGTGCTGCCGGGAGGGAGACCATCAGGGCGGAGATAACGTAGCAGTGTCACGGCGACGTCGAAGGCTGTGGCGTAAATGAGAGTCCGCAAAAACACCGTGGACAAGAATGTAGTCCTCGTGGTCTTCGAGCAGTTCATATCAGCACGCGGCTTCCCACCGGGAACCCATCCTATGTTGCGCAGATCAACCATAAGATCTAGGGCGTCCCATAACGTCCTTTTTAGAGGCGGCAAGTCAGAAGTTAGGGGATAAGCAGGCCAACCGAAGGAGTCACGCTGCAGGTGCGTGTCCTCGACTGTCCACCCGGAGGTCTGCATCGCTATCACGAGCATCGCGGGCTGCAATAATCCCGAGGAAATAGGAGCATCCTGAAAGTACGGTGATGTAGAGTGCATAGAGAACGCGTCGGACGAACGGGAGGGATGGATCGAAGATGGAGTGACCGATGGTGAAACCGGTCGCAGAAAACAACGTCGCAGCCGCCGTAGAGCAGTCAATGAGACAGCAAGAAAGAGATTGAGGGTGGTCAAGCAAACGAACCGCAACCTAGACTGTTCGGGCCCCCATCGCGCACCTGCTTCCAGCCCCAGTTCCACCCAACGCCCAAGCGCCCGCATCGCCATACCCAAAACCACACCTATGTTCGCCCACGTCAGCGCCTACTCCTCCTCCGCGCTGCCCAAGTCAAGCAAATCATCCACAAGAGCGACGAGCGGCCCGCCCGCCAAAGGCGCATACTCGATCATACCCGGGACGTTGCTCAGCTCGCGAACGGCGTTTTCCTCTCCCTCTCTCTCTGCCTCTCCCCACCGACCACGCTCCTCCCATCCCGATCCCGGTTCCATAGCCCGGCGACCCTCCCAATCCTCTCGCTCGCCCACGCGTCAAACGCCTCGTCAAATGCCCCTCCGCCAGACGACGTTCACCTCGCCGAGCTTTTTCGCCTGTGCAGCGAGCGGAGGAGCCTCTGCATCGTGAGCACTTCCATCTCCGAGGACGAAGACAGGAGCACGGGGTTGTGCTGGGTAAGCAGTAGGCGGGCGAGGAGTTTGAAGCGCGCGTAGCCGAGGTCAGAGGGTGCTGAGGAGAGGCACGCCGAGCGCGGGCACGGAAAGGGCGCAGGCGAGAAAGGCGCGAAAGGCAGAGGCGGATGACGCTGAGATTGTGGGTTTGAGTATGAGGCGAAGACAAGGGCTCAAGTGTGTTGCAGGAGGGTGGACTGAAGTGCAGGGATTAGAGGGAGAGCGGGGAGGTGCGTGAGGAGGGTGCTGAGTTATTCCGCTTTATAGAGCGACGTCAATGAACATATACGCTTAACAGGAGGGTCGACGCACCTCATTCTAGTTCCTTGCCTGACTGAACATGCAACGCCGCACACCAGTAGCATTCGCTTCAACCTCCCCTTCTCTTGATCTCCTCCGTCGATGCTCGCGTCGGTAGACGCGATTGACGAAACATGCGCGCCGAGATGTGTGACGAGCGCGTTCGCGAGAGGTGTAAATTGCTCCGGATCTTTATAGTGAAATACGAGCGCAGTAATGTGCCTGCGAAGTAGCGCCAGAACCGCTTCCGCATATTCTCCTGAGCTCGTTGCAACGTCCGTAAAATAGTCTAGGATAGGGCTGACAGTCGATGAAGCAGCAACGTGGAGAGTTCGCGAGGCGCTCTACAGCCCGGGGTCAACTTCCTCCAACCTAAAGGCAAAGGAAAGCTAAAACGAACCTTGCACCCATCGACAACAACCCACGCAGCCGTGTCTTCAGCCGGGCGCATTTAACCATCATCGTCACCGCAGCAGTCTTCGTCCTGCGCACTGCACCCGCCCACTCCTCGGCGACCGCTCTCCCCGTCTCCTAGCCGCACCGCACGAGCGCCTCGTGTATCGCTGTCCACGTCTCAAAGAGCATTGTCCGCGGGTGTTCCAACCCACCCGCGTGATCGCACAAGGAGGTGCCGGAACGCCGACGATAACGCGGCAAGGAGCGCGGTGAGCACTTGTGGCTCGATGCCACGCGGAAGGAGGGCGCTGAGGGTGGAGAGAATGGATGTGTATGAGGAGACGGTCGTGCGTAGGTCATGAGCTAGTTTTTGAAGGAGGCTTTCAGTGTAATGCAAAGTAGCGATTAGCTTGGTTCGTGAAGAGGTGTAAGGATACTACGTACTCGAGCAACGCCACCGATCCGTCGTCATTCGCACTTTACACTGCTTCCGTCCATAAATTGATGATCTCCTTCCAGTGGAGGGCAGGGCGGGCGAGGGACGCCAGGGACGATGAGCGGGGTAGGGGAGGGTGGTGGTGAGATGGTCAGAAAGGAAAGGCGTGGGAACCCGCGCGATACATTGATATGGTAAATCGCGATGGGGGTACAGCCACCGGCCAACATGTCGGAGTAAGCCCTTAAATTTGTGAGCAATAGCCTAGCATTACCCACTCCCAGATGCTAAGCCCTGTCCCTCACGAATTCGCCAATATATAGGCCAACGAAAAATACGAGTAGTAGCTGAAGACATACATAATGATCATCAGACCGTCCAATTCCCTAATGGCTACATCTAAAGTTTGATAGTCGTATACTTCGAGGAGTCGTTATCCTCAAGATGATCAAGTCTGGACCGCACGCCGATGCATTGACGGAAAGACCTTCAGAAATCCACGTTCGGGTGAGTCATATGTAGTACCAATGATAATTACTCATGTTTGGAACACTAGAAAGCCTCGAGTTCAAGTCCGAGGCACCAGCACAACAATTCACCGGATTAATGCGTCCCGACTCATCTGCCACCAGATCGCAGCTTCTTTCACTCCATCTCTCGGAGTTCCGTTATCGGGAAAATCGTCGTCTGAAAGCGTCTCGAGGGAGAAGAACAAAATCTGTTTGGTTCATCGTGCTATGGTAAAGAGAACCGAGACATGTAAAGAACACGGTGTGGTAGTACAGTAGGTGGGTTGTGATTTTCGGTTGCCGAGAATCCCCTGACCATTACTTCAATGTAAAATCAGCCGTAAGGATCGATCCGAAGATGGGATAAGATTTGTTGCCATGCACCATCTTCTGGCGATGATTTACGTGCCCTGGCCCGAAGCCTAAGGCAAAGAGCGTATAGACAGCCTCGGATTCAGACGTCCATGCAGCATCCTCGTCTCCGATATTGCAACCCTCCATAGTACCCTCATGCCTTCTCCCAGCTCGGAGACGCCGTCTACGCCGACCCTCTCCGCTCCGCTGGATGAAGGAGGATGGCCAGAGCTATACCTCACCTGCAGCGAATTGGTAACCTCCGTGGCCTCCGATCCTATCTGGTGTTTATGGTTCTGTTTAGTCGTCCTCTTCATCAAAGGGCGAGCTGTATCAGTTCTTCGAAGGGCATGCAAACACCGGCAACATATAAAAAGAGGTGGTGCTTATACCTATTCTTTTCTTTCTTTTCTCTTTCCTTCTCTCTCTCCTTTCCACACTTAGAGCCAGGTCCGCGCACCTCCGGACCCTCCGAAGATTTCGGAGTTTGCTCCACGTCTGGAGTTACCTCGGACCTCTTATGTTTCTCTTCAAGCATTACTCCCGACAACATTCGGACTTTGTGCAGACCATGCAGACGCTTGACAGCAGCACTGTACTACCTCCGTGACAGCAGATGGTTATCAGTAGCATGATCAGGATCCGAAGATTGCTGGAGTTGTTTATATACTGAGCGTTTCGCATCCGAGGCGATGAAGTATGCGAGACGGTCGGTGTTGGATCAGGATATCAGGCGGTACGAAATGTTCTCGCAGGTATGTCTATTTTCATTTGCTGTGAGGTTGTGGTGCGTGGTGTTGACAGGGGTTTTTTTCTCCATAACCTACAACAATCCCGTGGATTCGGCAACAACTTCCGCTTCCTCGAGGGCGAGGGTCAGCCTGGCGCCTGCGGCAATGCCCCCGCTCCGTCGGGCAACGCGGGCTTCGCGGACGACACGCAGGACGACGACTTGTACGCTTAAGCGGCGGTATAACGCATGAGTGATGTACGGCGGCTGATGATTAGACTGCACGATTCATAATCTTCTCTTTGCATGGTCCCAAAGTTGTATCATACACCAGCTTCTTTGAATGTGACATTTCTCTTTGAAGATTATTCCTTGTTACGCGTGGGCTGTATAAGGTATATCAAGTGTCCGTGTTGTGGACACAACAGGGGGCGGTACTCTAAACTCCTAAATAGCTCCGGAACTTCGGACGGGGCCGGAGGTAGGTGGAACGGAGCGGAGCGTAGGAGCGTCAAAGCGTAGTAAGCGTACAAGTGGCCGAGGCCACAAGGCTAGGTGGTGGAGGATCTCAACAAATGCCGGCGGTAAGCATGAAAGCACTAGTCCCAATGACCAAGTCAATAAAGCATCCTATCTACTACAAAGTGAATGTGCACCTAGTCCCAATGACCAAGAGGTCGAGATGGGGGACTTCGAAGTGCTCCCTCGTGATTTCGGGCACGGGGTCCTCCTCCTCAACGTCCTCTTCCATCTTCGTATCCCCGCCCTCGACTGCCTCCTCTTTCTCGCGTTTCTCACGCTGCCGCCGGATGTCCGACTCGATACTCTCCCGGATCGCGAGCTTCGCTGCACGCTGGCAGACCTCTGTCAGATCTGCACCCGAGAAGCCATGCGTCTGCTTCGCGAGGAACTCCAGGTTCACCTCGGGCGCTATCGGCGACTTCTTGAGGCACGCTTTGAGGATCTGCAGGCGCGAGCTGTCGTCCGGCAACGGGATGTAGATCAACTGGTCCAGACGGCCCGGACGGAGGAGGGCTGAGTCGATCTGGTCGGGACAGTTAGTTGCGCCAATAATAAACACGTTCTTCTTCGAGTTCATGCCGTCCATCTCTGTCAGGATATGGTTGAGCACACGGTCGCCCGCGCCGCCCGCGTCACCCGACGAGCCGCCACGGGCCTTATCGATCGAGTCCAACTCATCGAAGAACATCACGCATGGTGCGGCGGCGCGAGCCTTGTCGAAAACGTCACGGACATTGGCCTCGGATTCACCGAACCACATGGTGAGGAGTTCAGGGCCCTAAAACATATACTTCATCAGCGAGTGATATAAGCGGGGTTAATGGGCTACTTACCTTGATGCTGATGAAGTTGGCATTGCACTCATTGGCGATAGCTTTCGCCAACAGCGTCTTACCCGTACCTGGGGGACCGTAGAACAAAACACCCTTCGACGGCGCCATACCATACTTGAGGAACTTTTCGGGGTGGTCGACGGGGTATTGCACGGTCTCCTGGAGCTCGGGCTTGACCTTCTCGAGACCACCCCGACGACGGTCTCGCGGAGCGCGGACGGGTTGGACGTGCCAAGTGCGAACCAGAAGTTCTCCATCGTAACACCGAGCGAGTCGAGCACTTCCGCGTCGATGGTGTCCTCGTCCAGGTCGATAAGGTCCATCTTCTCACGGATCTGCTGCATGGCAGCTTCCGAGCAAAGGGCAGCAACATCAGAGCCGACGTAGCCGTGGGTATCGGCAGCAATCTGCTCGAGGTCAACGTTGTCGGCAAGCTTCATGTTCTTCGTGTGGATACGGAGAATCTCGAGACGGCCAGTGGGGTCCGGGATACCGATGTCGACTTCACGGTCGAAGCGACCGAAGCGACGGAGGGCAGGGTCGATGGAGTTCGGACGGTTGGCGGCAGCCACGACGACGACGTTTGAGCGGGCCTTGAGACCATCCATGAGGGTGAGCAGCTGCGAGACGACACGACGCTCGACTTTTCCGTTCGTCTACGCATATAGTGAGCACGGTCCGCGGCTGAAGTAACGATTCGCGCACCTTTTCACGCTTGGGTGCGATCGAATCAATTTCGTCAATGAAGATGCTAGCCGGCGAGTTCTTCTCCGCCTCCTCAAACGCCTTCCGCAAGCTACTTTCACTCTCACCCGCCATCTTGCTCATGATCTCCGGGCCGTTGATTAGGAAGAAGAACGCGCCGGTCTCGTTCGCGACGGCTCGAGTCATCAGTGTCTTACCGGTACCTGGCGGGCCGTACATGAGGATACCTTGTAGGGGCTTGATACCAATTGACTTGAAGAGCTGAGGATGGCGGAGGGGAAGCTCGACGAGCTCGCGAATCTGGGCCATCCGCTTGCGGCAGCCACCGATATCGTCGTAACCCACATCGGCGAGGTTAGCCTCCTCATCTTCGCGCTTTACTGGGTCGCCCTCTGAAAAGTCGATATCAGCAAAAAGTGGGAAATAAAAATTTGGACGCGATCGCGCGTACCAGTGTGAATAACGGGGTCCTGGGCAACAATACAGAACTCAGCGGGATCGGTCTCGATGACCTTGAACTCCGCCGTCCGCATGCCACCACGAACAAGGAAAGTATCGCCTTTGCGCACTGGACAGTATGCTACACCACAAATTAGCATCGGCTCGTCCAATCGGCTCGGAAACGCGCTCACCTTCGAGGAAGTAGGGCTTGAGGTAGACATCAAAGATATTGCCGCTGAGGCCCTCGATCGAGTCGTCGAAGGGGAGAACATGGATACGCTTGCCGTACTTGATGTCGAAGCACTGGTGAACGCTGACGAGATCGGCGAGCTTGACGCGGAGGTTGTTGCGCGCGACCTTGCCAGGATTACGTAAGCTCAGCGCGCGGACTGCGACATAGTCCGCCGCCGGTGGAAGTAATAGCCGCCCGTCGGTGGCTATGCAATCGCGATTTACTATTTGTTTAGCGCTCTACAGATTCCCACGGCTTTCCCTTCTCCGTTACACCACCATCTCGAACACCGTACTTGTCGTCGCTGGTATCATCCACACAGCAAAGCATAGCTTTCGCTTCTGCCTTGCTGTATCAGCTTTTCTCCTTCTCTGAGTCTACTCTCCGCGTCGTCCTTCGCGTTCGAAATTTCTCTCAGGTGGGTTGGGGGTAAGCGCCACACAACGATCGAGTCGTCGAAGGGGAGAACATGGATACGCTTGCCGTACTTGATGTCGAGGCACTGGTGAACGCTGACAAGATCGGCGAGCTTGACGCGGAGGTGGGTTGGGGGTAAGCGCCACACAACATACGCGCGTTCGTAAGGTCTTGAGAGGCGCGTTCCGACGCATGAGTACTTTGAGGCAGCGATTATACGCGTCTGATATCAGCGCGAACTGAGTTATCGTACCGTGCTGAGCACTACTTCTACATAGGTTCACCATCCTCCGTCGTCGTATAAGTCGTCCCCCTTCGGGCGTCCTCCATTTCCCGTTCCTCATTACTCCCGATCATGCCGCCTTCCACCTCATCAGATAAATTGCCGCAATATTACCCTAGGTTTAACACCCCAACGGGCTGCCCTCGAACGCCTACAGAAATCACTCAGGTGGCGATGATAGCCGACTTCCGTATTCGCGCCGCTCTGTCCCAGTGCTGGGACCATAACTACTTCCCCCCCGAGGACTGGGACGAAGAGACCGTGAGTTGAGTCAGTTAAATTACATAATTTCCGCTCTGACGGGCGAACTGAACAGAGAGACGCTGTGTACATCGTGTCGCGGTTCTACTCTCCCCAGACGAACACGACCCTACCTTGGTTCGACGTCGTCTCGCAAGATGGAGCCAGAAAACCATGGGAAAATGGTTTCGAGCTCACACGGGAATGGCTAGACGAGCATCCAAGCGAGTGGGAGGAGTTCTGGCCGGGTCTCGAAATTGGAGGGAACAAATGGTGGAAGGAAGCCGAATTTGAGGAAGAGGTGCGCATGAAGCTTGATGTTCTGCATTTCACTTAATAGCCACCATGCTAACCGCGTTTGACCCAGGCAAAACTTCAAGCCGGACTCTCGGAAAGGGGTGATCTTAACGTTCGTGCTCGCTCTGTTGCTCGCATCGAATCGCCTCCTTCTGCGCATGTTGCTAGCTCTTCGTCGCCCCCCCCACATATCCCAAACCATCCCTCGGTGTGGCCCTCCGAATTCTTTTTGCAAACCCCAGGTGCTGGCCCGTCCTCCGGCCCTGGCCATGGGTATGATGCGGTTGCAGAAGATGACGCAAACACCACGACGAACCCGAGGCAGAATGAGAATAGAGGAGACGGCCGTCGTACAGAGGGTGAAGAAGTCGAAGAGAACGACTTCAACCTCGACGATTTACAGATGGACTACCCGCCCTCCCGAGAAAGCTGGCGGCGTCTTTGCAGCGCCGTCGGTTTTCTCCTTCAAAATGAGGCGTCGCGTCCCCGAGAGGGCCATTGATCAGACATATTACGATCCATATAGCTCTGGCGTATGGCAGAACAATGAAAAGACCGGGTAGAAGAAGCAAACAGAAATGTACTGAATAGATGCGTGACGTAGGTAGAATGGTTCTGAATATCGTAGCTGATATTACTGTAATGACATCTGTACCAACCCTTTTTATCCGCCCATGTAACCCTCTAGTTTACCGAGTCAAGCGCGACTTGTGCTCCTTCACGCGCTGACAAGGCGACATAGCCTGCGCCCTTTCAGAAGCCAATGCCCTATTCGGTGACAATAGATGCAGAGAGGACAGGAGCAAGGTCTGAGAAGAGCGTCTGCAGGTCTGTTGACGTCGCGGTGTATAGCAAGTTGGAGACAAAGAGGGTCGAGCTATGTCATTTCGGTTATGTGCCTGACGCTATAACGTCTAGGTTACCGCTCACCCATGCTCTTTTTAGGTTCCGCAGAGGACTAGGCCTCATTTCCAGCTCGCGCCTTGCGTCTTCCAACCGATGTTTCCATGATCTCACTGTGCCGGAAGATGCGGCCCGGAGTCATTCCGACCCCGAGCCCGAGCAGTGTGTCGGAAAAATCGATTTTGGGTTGCAACCGTAAAGTTCAAAAATGGTTTAAACGTCATTGAAGCGAGTTGCTAGCTGCTTGCAACCCCTCCAGCAACCATTAAGCGCGTTTTACTCAATTGCAGGCCATTCTAACCGAGTTGCAACGGGTTGTAACCCCCTTGCAACCTACTTTTAATTACGACTCTTCTCTTGGATCAGGTTATAAGCACTGCTCTGAGCCTTCCGGTTGCAAGCGGTTGTAAGGCCTCACAAGCGCTTAGAACCGGGCTACAACCGATGTACAAGATTTGGGACAATTATTTATTATTGGCTCATCGCCACCCGAATCGCGTAAACCTCGGCTATGCCGGGCTCGTCTTCTTTGGTCAGGACGGAATGGCGGAGAACATGACGGAGGTTTTGTCTGCAAGAGAAAGCGCAGATACTCGAACTGTGGAGTGGCACGTTGACACGTTCGGCTGGAACGGTGCCAACGTTACCCTTCATACGTCCGCTGGGCGAAGTAGCATCTGTGACTGGCATCACCATCGATGCGCCACTCCTCGAACGAGGCCACTGGACGTATTCCTCGACTTCCCCTGGTGCGATGGTTCGCAGAAGTTCGAAGCTCCGTTCGTCGGGTACTTTAAGTGAAAGCGACGATGTCCAGGCCCGGGTCGAGCACACATTGGTCAATACCACGCTCTTTGCCTCAGTCGGTGGAGATGCCTTCAACTTCACATGCGACGGTCCCGGCACGCACGGGTACACACTCCGCCCTTCGTCATTACAGTCATATTCCTTCTCCTTCACGGTTGATTACTCGTTATCAGGAAACGATACGCTACCAAGCGCGGGGACTGTATTTTCTCATCCAGCGAACGTATGAGATGCGTGCTGGGAGGAAGGAGGGTTCGCGGACATCACCAACACGCAGGACAGCAGAGCGCAGGAGCTGCAGAGATAGATCGTCCTTTCGCGGCATTCGATGCGACTGCAGTGAACGAGGCAGGCGACTATCCATCGCAGGAGGTACACTTCCACCACGATTATTTACTCATGCGTAAAGCATATACTGACCGTCTGCTCCCTGCAGTCTGATCTCGTTAACAACGGCTGGGTAAGCTCACCACTCCTCCATCACTCCCCTTCTTACCGCCTTCACTCGTTATAGTACGGCAAATTCCACCTCGAAATATTTACTTCTGGCACAGTTTACACTGGACCCTCTGGTCCAACACCGACGACCTCCTCGCCCGCTCCGCCCCAGGAACCTACATCCGCTTCCTCTCCATCTCTCTCGCACGCGTGCAAGTGCAACAGGGCTGGCCTGCGGGCAGCGCACGGTAGGGCAAGATGTCCTCGCCCTCTGGCGCGTCCGCGCGGCCTGGCGAGATCAACGAGCTCCTCATCTGGCAGCAGCTGCACCGGCTCGTGTTCGCGGAATACTTCTACCGCGCCGCCTCTGCGTCACCCTCACGTGTGGCGGAGCAGAGCCAGGTCCTGCAGGACTGGCTCCCCGTTCTCACCGCGACCGCCAACTGGATGGTCGACTTCACATGGCCCAACGCGTCCACGCATGTCTACGATCTTGGCCCGCCGATGCTACACCGGAAGACACCGCTCACAATGCCACCGTAAAACCCGCGTTCGAGCTTGCGTACTGGCGCCCCGGCCTCGAGCTCGCGGCTGCGTGGTTCGAGCGCCTCGGAGAGCCTGTGCCTGCGCTGACCACTCTTCCCTTGCGCTCGTCTCCCCTATCATCGAGCGTGGTGTCGATACCAAGAAGAAGGCTGATCAGGTTGTTGGTAATCTTGCTTCGCTGACGGACTCAAAGAACTTCGTCCCCTAACTTAACACCCTCTTGCCGATGGTCCACGTCGTTCTCGTCGATCCGGTCCCAGAAGCTTGCGCAACAGCGGCAAAGACCCTCGGCACCCTCGTTTAGCGACTCGGCGAGGTCTACTTCCCCAACCTCGTACCAGGTCTTCTACGGACGCACAAGACCGACGCATCAGGCGTCAACAGGCAAGGCGCTGCTCAAGGTCCCAGTGCAGCCCTCGCGCCTGGGCATGGAACGTCGAGAGGTTCTGCTCCCCGACATCATCGCGAACGCACAGTCGCCGTTGAGCACCGTCAAAGAGGGTTTCATGTCGCTGCTTGTGTTCTTGCCTGCAACGTTCGGAACGCGATTCCAGCCGCACTTGCCCAAGATCATCGCTCCCATTCTCGGAGGTCTATCCGACCAGGAGGAGTTCATCCGAGAGGCGGCTATGTGCGCTGGGGGAATGGTGGCCACAAACTACTCGAGCAATGCCATTCGACTTGCTGGTTCCTGAGCTGGAGGCTGGCATGTTTGGGTAGCGCATTCGGGTGAGTATTTCTCTGCACGCCAGACTATGCTGGTTACGCTCCTACACCTCCCCTACAGCAATCGTCCATCACACTCGTTGGAGATCTTCTCTTCAAGGTATCTGGTACCAGCGGAAAGAAGGAGATCGAGGAGACAAGGGTGGCGAAGCAGTTCTAACCTCTCGCTGCACACGCTGAATCGTCCAGACGCGTTCTCATTAGGGTGCTTGCCGGGTGTCGTGATCGCATCCTTTCTGCTCTCTATCTCGCCAGGCAGGATATTGTCAATGTCGTGCGCCAGTCGTCGATCCACATCTGGAAGGCACTTGTTCATAAAACACCACGGGCGGGTGAGATTATAATCATTATTCACCCTTTTCGTGCAGCACTTTGCTGATTGGGTGTTGAGTAGTTCGCGAGATTCTGCGTGAACTTGTTGGTCGGGTCGTCAGATTTAGCTCTAGCAACGAGTTTGAGCAGCGGGAGGTGAGTCATGTTGCTTTGACCCGTTATTAGCTACGTATTGACACCAACTTACTCAGACTGCGATGCGCACGACCACGGAGTTGACACGCAAGCTCGGAGAAAAGATCCTTGGCGATACCATAATTCTCAAGACCATGTCGACATCGTCAAACTCGCGCACTTGTACAGGTGTTTGCCTGATGTTGTGCGATGTCATGTACGTTTACGTGTGCTCTCACGCTTTCCCCGCAGATGCTAACAACGCGGCAGGGAGAATTCAACCGGCAGCCAGGGCGGGGTACGGGGGTCCTCTGTTGTCTCCATCGTGCGTTCGTCAGTTGTGGACAATGACGCTTCTGTTAGCACAACCGCCGCCAAAGCGTTTGACACCCTTCAAGAGCATCTGGGCGGGAGAGCAATCAACCAAACTATCCCAACGCTGTTGGAGGCGCTGCGGCAGCCAGGCAAAAGCTCTGGCACAGCACTTCAGGCACTCAAGGAGGTTGTGTCGGTGCGTCGAATCACTAAGACTCGTGGTGGAGCGCATATGGCTAGTTCACCATGCACAGGTTCGGGGGTCTACGGTTCGCCGTTCTCATTCCTACCCTCATTGCGACCCCGATGACCGCGTTCACGCACGTGATTTGACATCCCTCGTTATGTGGCTGGCAACGCACTTCGCAAGCGTCTAACCGTCGTATTCAAGTTGAACGCCCTTGCCAAGGTTCTCGAGGAAGAGAAAGGCGAGGAAGTTGTTGAGGTCGTTGAAGAGGCTCTTACTTCTCTTCTAGAATATATCGAGGGCGCCGAAGAGTTGTACACCCTGATGCTCCTCTTGCTTGGATGGTGTGTGTCAGACTTAAGGTCGTCCGTTTACATATTAATGCTTTGTAGGGCGAAACATGAATATCTGAAGAGACGTATCGGTGCATGCAACATATTCGCAACGTCGCGAGGTCTCCAAGCTGGATTCGTCACTCTACCGCGTCGGCTGGGTCCGTCAACTTATCTCCCCGTTCGACGACTCTGTGGTTGATTTCCACGCTGCCGCCTGGAAGTCCTTTGACGCGTTAGTCAAGTCCTTTCCGAAAGATAAAGTCGAGCCCCTCGTCGAGCCCCTCCGCCGCCATCAATAGCACTGGTGGTCCTGGAAAGAACGTTCCTGGCCGGTCTCCCGCAGGGTGTTGCCCCCACCGTGCCGATCATCATCGCAAGTCTGACAACGGGCGACAACGAGCAGCGCGAGAACGCAGCCTACGCGATCGGCGAGCTCATCCAGCGTACGGATAAGGCCACCATGAAGCCGTTTGTCGTGCCCTTCACCGGTCCCGTCATTCGTGTGGCGACCCAGGCGGCGACGTGCCCTCCAACCGTCAAGACAGCGATCCTCAGCGCGCTTCAATTGATGCTCTTGCGCATCCCCGTGCATGTCAAGCCATTCTTCCTACAGCTGCAGCCCACGTTCGTTAGGTCGGTCGGAGACGTGTCGAGCACTGTCGTTCGGACAAGGGGTGTGGAGGCGCTCAGCGTGCTCATGCGCAAGCAGCCGCAGGTGGATCCCGCTGTAACGGAGCTTCTGGCTGGTGCGAAGGGAAGTGATGATCGCATCTAGCTCCATGCTTGCTCTGTCGTATGTCGTCCACAGCTCGACCATCCATGGATACGGGAAGGCAAAGGAGTCATCACTGACGCCTTCCGAGAAAGTCACGGAGGTGAGTACACAGAGAAACATCGCCCATGGCAGGCCTGACACTGTATTTAGATCCCTATAATCAAGTACCAGCCTTGGCACAACATCCTGACATCCTCGGCCCTGTCGTAACGTATGAACATTCTTCCCTGTATTATGCTTACCTCTCTAACCCTGCATTTTTCAGGGCCAGCCTCATCTCTGGAACCCACAATCTCCTCTTCATCTCACGTCATTCTTGCCGTTATATCTCCAGACGAAGGCCACTCCTACGCTCCTAACGCAGACAATAACCACTTTCAAAAGCTTGGCGTTCTCAAGGACGTTGCACTCAAAATCAAAGAGGTGGCTGAACTCTCTGGACCCCCGCAAGTACGCCATTGCAGCTATCCAAGAACCAGGGCTCAACCCCTTCACTAACCTTACTCCGGCGGGATCACACTGGACTGCGATATACCCGCCCACACACCACGCCAGCGGTGGCGGCCGCACCAGGTCGATCACGCTGGTCAGCAACGACCTCCTGTCCAAAACGCACTGGAATATAATCCCCGTCCCACACCCCGATATCACGGCAATAGATGCGGATACGGGCTCAGGTATTATTCGATTTTACAATTTATACGTAGACGGAACCCATGACGGGGCGCTAGACGCTCTCGAGGCTCACCTCCAGGCAGAGGAAGAACGAGACCCCACACCATCTGCACCGGCGCCTGACCACATGGTCTGGCTGGGAGATTTCAACCGTCACCACCCCATGTGGGACGACGCAGCTAATGACCATCTCTTCACAGCTTCGAACCTCCGTGCAGCGGACCGCCTGGTGGCGGCGCTCGCGGACTACAACATGGAGATGGCTCTTCCCCAGGGCATACCCACGCTAGAAGCATCGTCGACGAGCAACTACACTCGCCCCGACAACGTCTTCTGCAATGCAGAGATCATTGACCTGTTCACCGAGTGCAACGTGCACCCGGAGTTGCGTCCCATAAAAACGGACCATCTACCTATCATCAGTCGTCTCCGTGTCGAGGCCATGGCAGCACACCCCATTTCGCGTCGCAACTTCCGGGCGACGGACTGGGACGAGCTCCGTAAGGAGCTTCGCGCTCGGCTCCGTCTTTCGCCCCCACCTGAAACGATCGCTGATGAAGACCACTTTTACAGATACTTCGACCTTGTCACGGGGGCGATCCAAGCAGCGGTAGCAGCCGCGGTCCCCCTCGCGAAAGTCTCACCGTTCACGCGCAGATGGTGGAACGCGGACCTAACCGCACTGCGGACGGCGTACCGCCGGTTGCGGGGCAAGGCCTTCCGCCGTCGTGCTCGACGCAATGACCCGATCCACGAGGAGTGCGCCCACGCGCACACCGCGTATTCCGATGCAATCGACGCTGCAAAGCGGGCGCATTGGGAGGAATGGCTTGAACGCGTCGATGCTGACTCTATATGGACGGGTCACCGATACGTCAGCCAACCCCCCTCAGACGGGAGCTACCAGCGAATCCCCACACTGGTCGACACAACGGACGACGGTGCGCGAGTGCCGGTGAACGACAACGAGGCAAAGAGCGACTTGCTCTATCGCACTTTCTTCCCGGCACCGCCGCCGCCAGCTCCGCCCTCCCAGGTGCCAGCACCCAACCCTCCCGAGTCGCCCTTGGAGTTCTCCCAGATCACTGATCCCCAGATAAGACGGGCGATCCGGAGGCTCCACCCGTACAAGGCTCCGGGTCCGAATGGGGTCGCGAACGCGGTATTCACACACACTGAGGATGAACTGGTGCCTTACCTGGGCCCCCTCTTTCGTGCCACCTTCTCGCTCGAGGTCTATCCCACCGAGTGGAAGAGACACACTACCATCGTGCTGCGAAAGCCGGGTCGGCCGGACTACTCACTGGCAAAGGCGTACAGACCCATCCCGCTGTTGGACACGCTTGCGAAACTCCTCTCGTCCTGCGTGGCGGAGGATCTCGTCTACCTGGTTGAGACTCACAACCTCCTCCCAGCCAACCACTTTGGTGGACGGCCGGGACGCACAACGTCAGATTCACTCCACCTCATGAGCAAGTTCATACATGACGCATGGGCACACCAGTATGAGCACTTCGTCTCGGTCCTCTTCCTGGACGTGAAGGGAGCCTTTCCTAGCGTCCACGTCGACAGGCTCCTCAGTGACCTGTCCGACAAGGGAATTCCGGCTGAGTACGTGGGGTGGCTACGTCGACGACGATTGACAGGACGGGTTACCTGCCTGGCCTTTGATGACTACACGTCCCCTGACTTCTCCGTACAAGGCGGCCTCGACCAGGGCTGCCCGCTCTCTCCCATTCTGTACATTTTATATAACTCGCCCCTCCTCACCTTGCCCGACGCTAAGAATGGCGAGGCGGGGTTGGGATTCATTGAAGACATTGCCTTTTTAGCGCGGGGCACCACCATCAACCAGGCCAACGACAAACTCCGACGACTGATGGAGAAGCAAGGCGGCGCACTCGAGTGGGGCACGACGCACACGTCCCAATTCGAGCTAGACAAGACCGCACTATTGTGCCTCACTCGCCGCACCCTACCACACGCCTCGACGCCCCACACTCGCATCCCTTACCCACGCCCATCGATCACAATCGGCGGCCACGAGATCAAGCCCACCTCGTCCCACAAGTTCCTGGGCGTCATTATTGATGATCAATTACGTTGGAAAGAACACGCCGCGCACGCGCTCGGTAAGGGCATGACATATGTCCTCGCCTGCAGTAGATTAGCGAACGCTGGTAAGGGTATCCGGGCCGCTTTCATTCGAAGACTCTATATTTCTGTTGTTATACCAAAACTACTATACGCCGCTGATGTGTGGGCTACCACTTCCCTAGCGCAGGGCAATGGGCTAGCAAAGGACCAGGACGCCGCGGAACAGCAGGATTCACAAGACCGACCACAGGCACTGCGCCCCCAGCGCATGCGGGTGGTGGCTCCCTCCCTCCCACGGGTACAGAGGATCGCCTCACGCCAAACCACAGGTGGAATGGGCACTACCGCCACCGACGTATTAGACTACCACGCCCACCTCCTCCCATTCCCTCTCCTTCTTGAACGAACCTGCGCCAGGGCGACTCTACGCCTCGTCACCCTACCACCATCACATCCGCTCCACCGTCATGTCGCACAAGCAGCCCGAAAACGCAGACACCACGGCTCTCCACCCCACGACTTGCTCCGCCACTTCGAGCTCCACCCCCGGGACTTCGAGGTCATAGCGGCCGTCCGACGCGACCCACGATGGGAACCTGCACATGCCATCGTCATCCCCAAAGACAAGGACACGGCGACCCAAGAACACGCCAACGACAAGGCCGCCATACGGGTGTACTCCGATGGGTCCGCGCACGATGGAGGGGTGGGAGCCGCTGCGGTCATGATCCGAGGCGCGAGGGTTCGCCAGTTGAAGTTCCACCTCGGGCCGACCACTCGCCACACCGTCTACGAGGCAGAGCTGGTCGGCTTACTCCTCGCCACCCACCTCTTAAAAACCGAACTCACGAGGAAGAGGGGCACATCATTCATAGGGGCGGACAGTCTGGCAGCCATACTGGCAACCAAAGGGCGCACCTCCACACCGGGACATTACCTGGCCGACGCAGTATCGCAGGCCTTTGACGAACTGGTGGACGACGGACGCGATATCTGCCTGCGGTGGACGCCGGGTCATGTAGGAATCGACGGAAACGAGAAGGCGGACGAAGCTGCGAAGCTCGCCGCCGAGGGAACCTCGAGTCACCCCAGCCGCCTCCCCCGGTTCCTGGTCAAGCGGAAGTGGAAGACCCGCCCCGCCTCTGCCAAAACCCTCCCAGCCAGCCGCTCCGCGGTGAAACAGGCGATCAACGCTGCCATAGCCAAGAAGGCGGTCGCCGTCATGGAGCGCTCCCCCAGGGCGTCCCTTATCACCCAATATGACGCCGCGTTCAAATACTCACGATTCATGACCTCCATCAACGACCTTCCTCGGCGACCAGCGGTGACGCTGTTCCGACTACGCGCCCGGCACATAGAACTCAACTCGCACTTGGCGAAGATCGTCCCCGGTGTCGAGAAGGACTGCCCCCACCGCGGCGAACCTGAAACGGTCGTCCACTTCCTGCTGCGCTGCCCTCACTACCGCTCCCAACGCGCGCGCCTCGCACGCCGCTTCCGCTGGCTCCGGATCCCCCCCATAGGCGAACTCCTAGGCGCCCCCAACAACCGCAGCGCCCTCCTCGACTACGTCAACGCCACCGGTCGGTTCACGAAACCTGCCCCCCGCGTCCTGTCCAGCTAGCCCATGCCCTCGCCCCACACGTCAGGTAACTTTTCCTTCTTTCGTAGCACCCTCACTCCCATCACGAACACATTCTCCTTCGCACGTTACCGCTCGCCATTGTTTTACTCGACCGCCCTCCCTCTTTTTATGCGAGCACCCTCCCGCTTCCCCCCACCTTGGCTGTTCACTTGAAACGATTGGATTGGAACTCCCTCCCTTCCTTCACGCTCTCTTCGTCCACGCCCGCTCACACTACACCTTCCCATCCATTCTCCACGCCTACTCCTAAAACATATCACCACCTACTATACTTTAACCACTCCTCCTACACCTTCACACTCCCGCTTATGCTCAAAGGGGCCATTGTTTTTCACGTTTCTCCTCCTAGGCCCGGAACCCTAGTCGAACACCTAGTCAGTAGTACTCCACATGTCTACCATAGGGCGAGGCCCTGCAAGACTTATAAACCCTTGATTTAAAAAAAAAAAATCAAAGAGAGCGCCGCCAATGAGCGTCCCATCATAGCACGTCCAGCTCGCGAAGTATGTGATATTCTAAAAGCTTGGGGTGCCCACGATGAAAGCCTGGCGGACTTGTTCTGATTCCAATCTTATAATGGTAATCATTTTTCGTTGACTTCGTACACACTTACATAGAGCCACGCAAGTGGTTGCGTCAATGGCACTGCGCATCTAACGGATCAAAATTTATCTTACTAGATGTGTGAGGCGGTTCATCGGTCAATTACGACACACACTCGATTTTCATCATGGGGAGTTCATGATGAGGGGTTGAAAGGTGCTTCTGCATGGAGTATCCCTAGCCTACCAAACTAGCTCGCCTCACCGGCAGCGCGTTCATCGGCTCTTGTCCTAACTTCAGGCTGGTCCAAAATGTGTCCCAGTTTCTCGTTTCCTCCTAAGCGTGAGACTCCAGATCATATCCAATCCCTGCAAATATCAAGCTAAGATGGTAAAGATCAAGAATGGAGCGCGAGATATCTTGCCTGTTTCTCGGTTGTTTGAATGACGTCAAAGGTGTAATCAATCGGGCGTGTCCGGGTCCTGAGGTACTCGATAGTGTGATGTTTGAGTGTTGGCGTAGAAGGGCGCTTCTGCAGAACGTCTGAACAACGGACTCGTCCACCAAATCCAAACTGATATAGAACGCATATGCTTACTCAGGCCTCAGGACTTATGTATTGCTGGTGTCCGCTCGAACACTGTGAAGTATCGGAAAGGACTCGGAGAACTTTCCCTCCGTGAGGTCTTCTGCGAAACCATGTCAAACGTTTGTTGCGGAGGATCCGATGCTGGCTCGTACCTCCGTGCTCTGTAGATTCATTTAGTGTCCTGTATCTGAAGGTAGACGGCGAATAGGTTTACCAGGGGTAGTCTCTGTAGCCCCAGTGAGCATGGGGCTCCTGGATGGACTCGGCTCCATCCCGGGGGTAGCTGCAAGCAGCTTTGTCAGTGCTCTATGCCATGATAGTTCGCAAGTAGTACGTTGCCATGTTGTCCAATCGCTGAATGAGTTCGGCTCAATCCCGGGGTTCGTTGCAAACACTAACTTTGTCAGCGGTATATGCCGCGACCGAGACAGTTGAGAGGTACCTTGCCGTATGTCCAAGCTCGACACTGACGCCCTGGGTGAGCGAGTACCAAACAGGCCAGGGTTGGAAGAGTAGGGCTCGGGCTACTGGGTGGGCTCGGTCCGAGCTCAGGGCTCGCCGCAAACAACCTTGTTGGCGCTGCATGTCGAGTTCGCGATAAATGATAACTGGGACTTATGTCGCCGGGACTCCCAGCTCAATACTTGCTGTCTTGGAGAGTCCGTGGGCCCAGGGACAACGTCTTGACCGGGGACAATGAGGTTGGGTTCGGGGCTAGCGGAGGGGCATGGTATGAACTGAGCATCCGCTGCGAGCAGCCTCGTCAGCGCTCCACACCGCTTGATTTCACAATTGAGATAGCCGGGACTTACGCTGCCATTCTGCCCAACTCACCACCCGCAGCGTCGGATCCTTGAGCCTTGCCTCAAGTTCAGGGACGTTCTGCGGACTCGGGCACTGGACAGGTCTTCACTAGCACTTCTTGACCTTGCGCCAAGCATCCTGATAAATAACTGCTTCAACACGCATACAAGGGGATATACACCGACTCTGTCTGAGCAACCGCCTTCTGCTACTTCGGATTGGTACGCCCCAGCTAGTTCTTCGTCATTTTCGGCTTCCCGTTCTCCTTTCCGTTGATGTCGTTGGCCGCTAATCCCGTTGACACCTTCCATCGTGCCCGGCAATCCGTCTCCTACACACAGACACTCTGACTAGCTGTCCAGCATGAGCATTCCTCGGCTGTAGCTCATTCAGTCGAGATGTTGCCTACCTTGTCTGCTTCATCCTGATTGAGGTGTGAATTTATAGGACCTAGGTCAGGGCAAAAGAACATCCATTCGTAAGCAGTAAGAGTGAAAATGTAGTCATCCGTTGATTTTGAGTCTGAAGCGCTATGTCTCACCAGACTTTCGAGTAGATTTTCAACCGTTGTAATATAGTTGAAATGAATAGGGGAATTGCATATCCAACCGTGTGTCAGTCGCGTGTTCGAGGCTTCCATGTGCGTTCTCCACTAGCACCTACAATATTAATATAAAATTGTTTGCCCAAACATATGTCGCGACTGTACATAGCCTATGTGCCCTGACGTACGTCCTGTCTGAACCTCCTAAGCGAACGCCGGGCCCTTGATCTTGCCTCCCATCACTCCCCGCTGTGCTCACCCGCTCACGCTCATCATGCCAGCCTCCGACCGCAAGAGGAACGACCTCGTGGTGTGGTCTTGTCGCTCTTTCGGGTGCTACAAGGGACCCAGAGGCTATACCCTGCAGTCTCAGCAGGTTGCTACAACCCACGCAGCGCAAGACGATGCTCGGGGGCTAACCAACCCCGAGCCATCCGAGCTTCAAACGCTCATGCCAACGCTTGAAGACCACACCGCTGTCCAGGCTACCGGAGATGTTGGAGGGATGCAGGACAGCGGCGAGGATGACTTCGAGGTGCGTTGTATACATGCACTGAGCCAATGAACCCAACTAACAGCCTTGAAGCCTGAGGATTATTTGATGGACAACCTGGTAGGCATTCAAGATGTTCTCGACCAGGAAGACGGCTATTCTAGCGACGAAGAACTCATCAACCACCCGGTAGACGTTGAGGAGGAGCCAGGCCACGGCAGCGATGACGATCAAGAGCCGCTAGACGATCAAGTGCAGCTGGGAGATGACAATCAAGCGCGACCGAAGGACCATGGTCAGGACGAGTCGCAGGTCTACGAACGACTCCACGAAGCCCTCGAGGACTTCGACTTCTCAAACCTTGACGACATCGAGTTTCCGAATCTCGACCCTCGGCCAGAGGCGTTCGACGACCGCCCCTACGTTCGCAACGCGTACATCGAGGCCTTCATCAGTGTCGCCTCCTCGAGGCGATGTGCCGTGACATTCCCGGCCTCGAACTCCCCGGTCTCGACAAGTTCGCGCACACTATGCCCACTGTACTCAAGCGGCTGGGCCTTTCCACGGTGAACTTCATTGTTTACCTGTCCATTTGCCCCGAACGCTGGGCAGTCCATCATCCTTCCACATTATCAACACTCACATTCCCCGAATGCACCTCAGAAGACTGCCCCGGCCTCCTCTATAGCGAGAAGGTGCTTGCCAGCCACGTCATCAAGCGCACACCTGTCAAGATAGTGCCATACTTGAAAAAAAAAAGTTTTCGTGATTATTCATAACCTTGTAGCGTGCACTCCATAGGATTCTGCTGCGTCCCGGCAAGTGGGATCAGCTGCAGCACTGGCGCAAAGACGGCGATGAACCGGGCCCAGCCCCACCCCTCAAAGCAACCAGTTACGACGCCTTTGTGGATCCAACGTAGCCAATGACGGACGTGTACGATTCAGGCAGGTTGGCAGCGACGACGCAATCCCGAGAGTCAGTGGGGGGTAGAGGATGTCAGTATTCTTGAGCTAGCTCAGCGGTTTGTCTCGTTGCCGGGCGGATTGGTCCTGCAGTTTAACATCGACGGTGAGTTCATAATCTCTATATCTCTTCTCCACCCCCCTTTACCCGTCGAGCAGGTTCCACATCAGATAGCATATTGCCTACGTATTTACATGCGGATCTCACAGGCGATGCCCAGGTTTAAGCCTATCCCCCCGCTCCCTGCAATAAAGTTGAATAAAGATGCGACACCCTCCTGGCTGGTGACGTTGACAGCTGTCAATTGCCTGTCAACTACGGCAAGGCCCGTGATTGAGCCGCTGCCTGCCGCCGCCTCTCCCGCACCACCCTTTGCCGTCGTTGTCCCCAGCGCTTTGACCTATATCCCTTCGCGGCCGAGGGGCACGCTTCCCATCGTACCAACACATATCAGATCGTTCTATACTATACAACTTGCCATACTAATCCAGGGGTTATGTTCATTGTATGCAGCATCGAACACCGACTATGACCAGTGCTAGTGATGACGTATCTAGCTATAAATCATAAGTGCCGATGCGTCAGCTAGCCACGCTTTGTTGAACGCAAACGCGCTCTTCATGTCACGTGGTCGTTGAGCCACGCGTTGAACCAGACGCGTCCGGATCTCATAGGCGCGGCTCCCGAAGTTACGAATAATTATTGTGCCGTCGGTGAGCATCATAATAGGTGGTTATAAGTTGAGGTATAACATTAGAGCAAATGAAAGAAGTATAAACATATTTTTAATACAACAGGCTACTCGTCAGATTGATAATCCTCATCATCGTCCTCATCCTCAGACTCGATGATGGCAACACTCTTCACCTTCTTTTGGCGACGCGACACGCAGCCCTTGGCGTCCTCATCCTGCTTCCTCTTCTTGTGCGTCTTCCCCTTGTCAGAGCGCGCCTTCCGACGCTTCCCGACAGGCTTACCCTCCGCCTCCAGCCTGGCCATTTCCGCGTGATGGGCAGCTACTTCAGCGTCGGTCATCTGAGCCCAGTGGCAAGCGCCAGATACCAAAGCATCCCGCAGTAGGATAGCCTCGTCAATGTTGTGGAGGACGTCAGATGGATTGCCTATCTCGATACTCGGTGGCCAGCCCTTGATCTTGATCTTGTGCGTGGCGGCAAACTTGTGAATGTTGACATAGTTCATCTTCGGTTTGGAGCGTGTGGCTTGCTCTGCAAATATACAATGAAGGTTAACATCGAGCAAGCGGAACGTGCGGGTGATACTCACGGAGCTTAAATGTGACCAAATGCGAGCACTGAGACTTGATAACCGAGTAATTGTTGCGCTCCTGAATATCTGATGGCTACATGAGCCGCGCACGAACGAGTTGCACTGCGAGTACTCACTTTTACTATTGGTGCATGACCACATGTCAAAAAGTCGAGCAACCTCGGCAGGATCCTTCCCGAGAATATCCTTGAAAATTTGGAGGGCGTGCGCATTGCCGTAGAAGTCCGTTGCAAGAGTGTCGTTGATGTGTGCGCGCGTGACGAAGAAAAAACCGAGGGTGCCGTTGCGGAGGCCGCCCGTGTCCAGCTGGATGATATGAGTAACAGTGAAGCGCGGAATGTGGACCACGTACTTCGTGTCGCATCCGCTTTGTGCTTGCAGTGTGATCCTTGGCTGCGCCCGTGTTCGACGCTCGCATCGCAGTACCCTTGGTGGCCTTCTTCTCCTTCAAGCGCGCGATGAGCGCGTCTTTCTCCTCTTGGGTGAGGTTACTGGTGCTCATGTCGTCGTCCTTGTCGAGCTCGTCCACGATCTTCCGCAGCCGCAACTTCACCTCACGATCTAGAGAAAAAGTAAACATGACCGGTTGCTCGAAGGGCAATAGTATAGACGTACCTTTGTTGATATCCGCCGCTTTAGCAGAGGTAAGAGCCTCGCGAAGGCTCGGTTCCCTAGGCGGCTTGACATTGATTTTCCCTCGAACCAGCCTCCGGAAGTAGTCTGTCTTGAGGCTGAGCCTTGCGGCCTCCGCCTTGATCTCGGCTTCTTCCCTGGGATGGAACGCCTTCACGGCGTCGGCGACCTCCATCTGGTGGTTACGGGCTACCTCAGCCGCAGCCGCGCGAGAGGCCTTCTCAGCTTGGGTCAGCTGCCTCTTCGTCTGCTTGCGGGAAGGCTGCCCTGGGTTACGATCGGCCCAAGAGTAGTCGTTGGCGTCGGGTGGGGATAGAGCCAGGGGGAGAGAGGGCAACACAAGGGGACGGGAAGGAGCAAGCACGTCCTCCAGGGGGGCGTCGAGAGGGGGAGAGGCAGTAAGGTGAGGAGATCCGATGGTGTGAAGAGGGGAGGGAGTGCCAAGAGGGGAGGAAGCGATGACTGGGGAGTGGACTTGGGTGACATCGAAAGGAGCGCTCACGAACGGGCTGGTCGCGGACCACCCCTCAGGAATTGTACCCGGTTTGCCGAAGACCGAGGTTTGGATGTGATCCAAGACCTCACGCTCCTCCGCACTGAAGATGGATGGGGTGAGGCCTGAAGGGTATGCTGGTGCGAATCGTGGCCGAACCATTTTTTAGGGTTAGGGTGGTAGCTTGCCCGACGAGCGAAGCGAGGAGGGTAAGCGTAAAGAGAAGAGGAGTTGAAACTTGGTCAACAGGGCTGGGGGATCTCCCCAGGCCAACCTGTTTCGTATATATACTCTTCAGGACCAAAATAGTTTCAAGGTGGAGTACCATCGGATGTCTGTAGAGAGGCGGGAGACGCCTCTACGGGTGCATCCAAATGACATCATTGTATAGGAATAGATGTTAGTAAGCGTTTCAGCTAAACTTAGCATGCTTGATGACTGATGTGAATGCCGAGGCCGATGCGATCGCATCGGGATTACCTTAAATGATATAATTCTCCCACAGTGGGAAAATAACCTATAAATAGGTGTTTCATGTAAAAATACCTGAAACTTCTCACGCCCTAAG